TTCTTGTAAGTCAAACAAGTCTAGTGAGACGAACGTAAAAGATTTGCAACGTTTATTCACTTCTTATAAATTTTACTTTTTTCTCACTCCAAAATATCATGTCTCTTTTCTTTACGGACATTTGTTTCCCTCCATTACGCTAATTGCCGTTTCTTTTAAATGGCTGCTAATTTTCTTTTCAGTGGAAACCTAATCTCAAGGAAATTCCCCACCGAATCTTAGATTGAAACGGACGAAAGAAGGCGGAAGGGGATGCTCTTTTCTTCTGAGGTTTATGTTCGAATCCCCTTTCGCTCTCCAGTTTTTGCACTTGCTAGGCAGATTAGGGATTTTTCGTATCGAAAGGCAAATTTAGTCGATAGAGATGGGTAAGGAGAACTTGTCTAAGAAGAGGGACGAGGAAAGGGGAGAGGGATTGAGTAGGAAAGGGGGTTGTAACTGTGGGGTACGTTGGATGTTATTCCCTTTCTACCTGTGACAACCGAGAATGTACTACAGTATTTGTATTTCCTAAATCATCGCTCAGGAATTTGGGGGTTTATATACAGATGCGCCTCGAATCGAGCGTTATATCCCCACTCAGTGAACAAAGCGGTTGAACAAGTTCTTCTGAAGATGTGATCCAATTGCTCTACTCAAAACTTGATCAAGTGTTTAACGTTACACTAAATTAGCTACTCTTTTCCTCTTTCTCTGTCTTCTCGATATCGTTTATCAAGCTTGCTATCTCATGAGCCAAGTTCTTAGTTTTGTTTATATCGGTCTCGCCTTTGTCAGGCTTCATTATCATCTGCCTTCGGTGAGCTGGCTGAAGCGGAAGATTCAGAGGTATTCCTTCTAGCATGGCGACCTGCTGAAGATTACGTGACTCTGCCAGTAAGCGGCCTGCCTCCTGCATGATCCTGGACCGGCGTATGGCGTGTGCTTCCTCGATCTGCGCCCGCCTGGCCTCCAGCACTTGGTGGTTGGCTTCGGAGAACACCCGCCGCACTTTGGCTTGTTCTGCTGCGCTCATGGTGTCATAACCTGTTGGGAGCAAATGCCAAAACGCTCAGTCAACGAGCTAGCTTTGTAAGAGTTATACTGGGGGGTGAGGGAAGCTCACGATGCATCTGACTTCTCCGACCATAAGACCTAGAGCAGTCTTTTGATGGAGAGCGAAAGATGCGAAGTGGATCTTCGAGAGACAATTAATCGACATCGAACGTTTATTTCTACCAAACCATCCTGCAGCTTCATATCAAAGGAAAGCAGATACATCAGTCACTGGGTGATCAGTCATAAAACTGACGAAACCCTCTGTCCGATAATAAATCGATCCCGCGGTTTTCGTCATAGACGTTGCTTAGCAACATTCTAAACTCTTGTGACGTCATACTGACGTTTCAATTGCTGACTGAGTTGAAAGCCGTTGGAGCGCTTCTTCTAAATTTTCCCACATCCGACTGTTTATGTATGCAGCAATATGGAAGCCAGCACACGGAATTAACCCCTTCTCCTGGTACTACCTGAAATATATGTCAGCCATCGAGATAAAAAGCGTTGGATTTTGAGAAGCCATTCCTTCATGTGAGAGTTCCACCGATGACAGACAATAAGCAAAATACAACGGACTTTACAACGCCTTGATGTAAAACACATAAAGACACAAATGGTTTAACAATTCCCGCAGGCGCTACTGTAGAATCCTGGCTCTTTTTGTTCAATGCGAAAAAAACATAGAACACTCCGAAAGTTGTGACGTCAGCTGGGGTTTCTCTGGGAAACAAACCTTTGACAAGTGGCCCACAGTCGCACTGAGGACAAGATCCGGGAACCTTAACAATCCTACACAGGGAGGGGCACTCTGGTAAAACGTTTGGACACTCTGCAACAGGACAGCACAGGTACAGTAACACAACTTACAAATCTCTTTAAGACAAGTCCCAAATTAATTCAGTGTTTTGGATCATAAGGTGGACAAGATTTGTCATCTTTCCTTCTTCAAATTTGATGTCGTGTTTGAATAATCTAGTAAGCTTAAAGTATAGACAATAGTGTAAATTAAGAAAGACCATGTTGAAAAATTTAGCCGTAATTTTGTCAAGTTCGATGTTCATTATTCGGTGTAACCAAGCATTCTAAGGTTTCTCTACCTCAGTAGCTTACCTTTTTGAGTTTCACTTTAATTCGAGGTTAATTGAGTACATCACAAGATTAATACTTAACACGTGTTAAGTATTATTTTAGAGAGCTTAGATATACGAATTTCCTCTACACAGGAGCGAGCTTGAAATAATATTTCTATAGATAAGTTATGACATTTCCTTTAAGACGAAGGTTCTTAACGAGACAATTTTATTTACCTTTTCTCTCAAATTATCATTTTTTTTTTATATCAGTTATTATCGTAGATAATAGTTAGCTATCAGTAAAGTTAAACACTGTAAAGCCCTAAATGGACACTTAAGAAGCCAGAAGTAACCTTTTCCAAATAGTTATGATATTATTACGATCATTATTTATTATGAACCACGTGGTTGTAGTGAAAGGGGTAAATTTTATCCGCACCCTAGTCTTTTTGTGTTAGTATAATAATAGTATCTTTGCACAGTAAAGTCAACACATCATTAGAACACAACTAGCTTTGTTTATTTCTCTCACCGTATAGAGTACATAATAATTAAATAATTCTCTGTAATAGCCGCACAAATAACTTCCTAGTAAGAAAATTAGTACCATTCGAGAGTGTTACAGTTAAAACCTTCCGTGCTTAAACACCGAGGAATTATTTTTAAGGAAAAAATAACTATTAGAACTTTGTCATCCGGAAACAAAGAGTCATGCAGAATGCGCGTTACATGTTGCTTTTTGTCTGTTTTGGTTTAGTTTCATTATTGACGAAGATAAATTGTAAAAGAGGATGCAAAAACTACAACGCTGACAACAAGAGCTTCGTTTGAAGATTTAGTCGAGGACTGAGTGATCATAAAGTGTGGCCGGTCTATCTGCATTTTTCTTTCCCTGTTATTGCGCCTTACCACTCTTGTCTTTCGAAGAATCGTTTTTGCCCTTTGATTGATCTGCACTCCTTGTTCGATCTGTTCAAATCGAACAAAGACAATTTAATGTTTGCTTGGTTGCTCGAATAACGTTCAAATAGTTTTGAATAACGTTTAGTAAATGATTGCTAACTGACTGAATGAATGAATGACTGCTTGATTGATTGATTGATTGATTGATTGATTGACTGACTGACTGATTGACTGGATGGTTGATTGATTGATTGATTGATTGATTGGTTGATTCATTTACTGACTAACTGACTACCTGCCTGCCTGCCTGCCTGCCTGTCAGGCGGAGTGAATGACTACCTGACTGACTGACTGACTGACTGACTGACTGAGTGATTAACAGCCTGACTGACTGACTGACTGACAAAATGACGGACGGACTGACAGACTGATGGCCTGACGGAGTGAGCGAGTGAGTGAGTGAGTGAGTGAGTGAGTGAGTGAGTGAGTGAGTGAGTGAGTGAGTGACTGACTGACTGACTGACTGACTGACTGACTGACTGACTACACTGAGTGACTAAATGCATGACTGACTAAATGACTAAGTCATTTCCTAAATGACTGACTGACTCGATGATTGACTCAGTCAAGTCAGGTAATGACTGGCTGGTTGGTAGAAAGACAGACCGGCAGTACTCACGTCTTTTGCAGATGTATCCCAGAGGCTTATAACAGTTGTCGTCATCCCATCTTCCCCAGTCATACCGCTGGTACATTATACCGCACTGTTCGTCTTTTCCGTCGTAGTGCTGGCCTTCCTTCCAATTCTGGTATCTAACAAACACAAACGGAGCATGCTTTTTGCCAGTTTACACAGCGGTAAGGTGAAGAAAAAAATGCGCACGAATCGAGAGATGTTTCTTTTTCGGTTTGGAGAGATATCAGTAGCAGATGTTTCATGACTGAGTAAGGAACTTTGCTATAACTAAAAAAACTCAGTTTTAAGGATTAGCAAAGTTCAGTTTAGCAAATCTGTGCAATCACCTTCCGTGTCATGTATACCATCATGCGCAACTTTGCACTCAAAGATCAGAAGTTCTTTTAAAAATTAAACTGTGCTTCATGTTTTGAGTAAGTTTTCCTTTTAATCGCCATGGCCATTGTCGGACACTACTTGAGGCCCTTCTGTATGAATGGGACAAACTTGAGCAAGTTTGAGTCGCAGGTTAAAAGATTTGACTAAAATGTCATTTTCAGCGCCTTTGGGTAGTTATGAAGCCTACGTTTCTATTCCTGGAGGAATGGGACTTTAAAATGAGCAGTAGCCTGCTCACGTGCGTTTTATGGCACCTGATACTGAAATAAATGCCGTATTTACCTGTATCGCGAACCGTCAATCCAGGACCACATTCTGACTTTCTCCTTGTATGACATACCAATCCACAGCTTGTTCACATCAGATGACTTGCGCAGCTGTTTCGTGATGAAGTCGTTTTCTTCATGCGTGTGAACACTCAGTAGCTCCGCATCGCAGAGCTTAAAGAAATAAATAATGAAAAAACTTAATGACGGTTCTTGCGCAGTTTTCAGTCACGGAAAAAAAGGACTGACTTCTAGCATTAGTAACTGGGAAACTCTGGTTGTCTCTAGGAATACTCCACGACGAGAATCGAAGCAATCAGGACGGTTTCGCGCAGAGAATAACCGAAAAATCTCAGCATGTGTACTAGTCCTTCAACCTATAATTTCAGTGTATATGAAAAAAATCATTTAATGGCTCGTTTGTTTACCAATTGTACTCAGTGTTTCAACGTGCTAGTCCCTAACCATAACAGCGATTTGTATTTCTACCTTAGATGAGAAGAGCAAGGTCCGGAACTGGACTGTGATTTACCTTGCAGGCCCTAACAGAGTCAAACCAACTCTTTGTATCATCGGTTGATATTTGGTACTCAAACTTGCCATCTTCTCCCTCCATAGGAACAAAGTTGTCGCATTTAGCATAAATTGTATCTAAAAAAAAGGTTAGGAGAACTCACAATTAACAATCAAAGAAAATCTCTTTATATCGCCCCCACCCTACCCTTCCATTTACCTCCTCGAGTGATCTTCACTCTTGCAACATCGCCTGCGTCATCAGGCCTTAGAGCCAGCGTAAACTCGCCGTTTAACTTAAGTGGCTCGTCATTCTTCACATCTACCGCCCTGAGGACGATCCTCTTGTACTCGTCCCCAGGCTCAAGACGTGCGTACTCTACTTGAGATTCATCAACGTCGAGCGTGGTGGCCGGGAGGATCTGGTCCGGACTGACCCTGACATGTCCTCCTGCGTGGTTTATAAGCTTCACGTAGAACCATCTGTTACCGGGTCCTAATAAGGAATGAACATCACACATGAAAAAAAAAAAAAAAAAAAAAAGCGAAAAAGCTCAAGGAACATTACACGGTCTAGTTATGATAGACTTCGATAGTTTGCATTTTCGCTTTGCTGTTCGTAGGGAGTTTTATGGTCTGCAAGAATAGTCCCCAGTAATCTTTTGCACTCAAAACGCGCTCGGTAAAGAAATTTCTGTGTCTCTATGCACCCGAACTTCAGCACTCCCTCGATAAGCCGTGTTCAGTGACCAATTTTATAACGGTGCTTGCAAATAGGAAAATGTAATGTTCAATGTAAGATAATTTCTCTTGTTTGTTTGTAAACTTTATAACATAACCAACAAAAACATATAAGCAATAAAACCTCTAGGAATGTAGATGTTGTGGGAAGAGCAAATAAGTAAATGAACAAAAGCTAAACCTTTTCTTTCCCCTTTACTCACTATAACCACCCAAAGTATTTATCGGAGTTTTATAAAAAAACAAAAAAACATCATCTACTGGTGCTGAGTAAAAAAAGGCATACATTGTGTACAGTTAGACAAGCGTTCAGTTTATTGTGTTGACTCTTATCCGTCAGTTCAGTACAAGTTTTCTTTCCGTGTGTCGTTTAGGTAGACATTTTAGTGATAAAAACATGAAGCACTTGCCTAGACTCTTGACAATGTGTCCGTGTCTCGCATGCAGGATACCACTTCTTGAGTCTACAGTTAACGAGAATACATGTACAGCGGAATCAGCAGAGAAACTCTCTATCAAACGTTTAACCTATAGAACATGGATCTGCAGTATAAAATAGTGAGTCTGAATCTCGTTTCAGGCCATGAATGGACCGATAGAGAAAAACTGAAAGGAAGGAAAAAAAAAAACACTGATACGATCTCAAGATTAGTAACAATAGTATAATGGCTCTTTATTGAATAATCTTCGAGCAGTGTTTCTTTTCTCCTTGTTCACCAAGAATGTAGAGGAGAAACTGAAAAAAAGCGCGGAAACAAAAATTATCGCTCAGAAACTGCGTAAGAACTCCAATTTTCGTGCGGCAAATTTTCCCCTCTCCATTCTTCTTAACTTGAAGCTCAACTCAGGATTTTCATCTAGCAGGTATTAAAGTAAAAGACCAAATAAGGTAACTTACGTTTACAGTCGACACGTACCGAAAAACTGGGAGAGAGCAACCAAGTTGCATTCTGTGAGAATTTTATCCAAATCTAAAGGAGCAAGACTTTGCTACACATTCTAGAACTTGTAAAGGCTCTGTAAATGGAGAGGTTCTACATTCTATTGAATCTCTTTCAGAAAAAAATCAAGAGACAATTTCAATACTAATGCTGGTTCCAGTTTTCCACGCACGAAAGATTTAAGGAGGAGACTGAGTACAACTCAGGACTCACCTTCTCGTGACACGTAGGCCTCTTGTGTGTCGTCATAAGTGGTAGGTGTGACAATCAACGTACTCTCTCCGTTAAGGATCAGCGGCTTGTCTGTGTACTCGTCCACTGCTTTCAGAGTGATCTTAGCCTTTCTGTCAGTTTCGTTCAAGAGCTGATGGTAGACGAAGATTTCTCCGCTGCTTAGTACAGCACTGGGAAGGATCCTGTCAGCTTTTAGCTTGACTCGTGTTCCAACTTGGTTTACAACTTTCAAGTTCACCCATTTCTTTACCTCTGGAATAAAAAAAAAAGTATGTTGGTGTCACTTTGGTAAGCTTATACAGCTTTTCTCACCAAATCGAGCGAGCGGCAAGGGACTTTCTCTGGGGTACTAGGCTCAGTTTCCTTCCCTTATATTTCTATGCAAATTCAAGACCACCAAATTAATCTGAATGAACCCCAATATCTTCTTTTTTCGCGCCGAAGATTGAAATTTGCGCTATGCGCTATCGTTCTCGATATTATCATCGTTATGTTAGCTTTACACCACAGATTTTCTTTCCAACAGAAACATTTTCCAGAAAGTCAAATCAAGTTCATCTCTTGCCTAGGGTATTTCTCCTAATTTCCGTCAGAGATTCGCAAATGACCGACTTGCAGTAACGCGTAGTCAAACGATTGATGAAGCGAGAGTGTGCAGAATTGCCAGGACATGACTTGACCGATTGCCCGCGTTCTGTCCTCGCAGAGACGCCGAATTTTGCAAGTTTTAGAGAACGACCATAACGAGACGATGTTCTAGCATCTTTCAAGCCAACCTATGTTCAGTCTTTGCATAAACTGTCAGTTGTCCAGGAAAAAAAAAAAACTATGAAAAGTCATGGATTCCCTTACTTGGCTTTTGATCGTGGTGACGTTGATGGTGGTGATGATGATGACGATGATGGCGTTTACGCGGTGAGTCTCTCACGAACACCTTGCTAACGGAGCCTGGGGCCAAGTCGCGCCTCGCTAGTTCACCAGTTGCTACATCAGCGGAGTCTTGTTGCTTCATGTTATCCAGATACTTCTGGTACACACCTCTGAAGTTTTTGGAATGTATAAGACCTACTAGGAAAAAGCACGTATCGAGTAAGTAACGCATCTTATAATATTTACTATTTTTTTCGAAAAAGAAACATAATTTCTATAACCACGTTAAAGCTGAACGAATTTGAACTATGCTCCTAAGAATAGTTCTTTTTGGCTTGGACGGTTTGTTTTCCCATCACAGACCACGTGATATTTTCTAGAGAATTGTTTTTTATCCATCTAAAATTTATTCATTCATATACACGAGAATTCTCAAGAGTATCATCGTATTGTCTGAGATGGGGCAACGAACCACTTAAGCTTATTTATTGTTTATTGTTCAGTTATTCCGACAAAATTATAAAATGTTAAAGTAACCATGTTGTTAAAAACTCAAACGTGGCGATTTACGATACAAATAGACTAGATCAGGATAGTTCTCGGGGAGAGGGGGTAAGCGGGAGGGAGGCAATGATAGAAAATTAACAAGGTTGGTTGATTTCTATAGCATGAAGCGGCTAGGAGTTTTTTTTACTTCCCCCTGGATAGGATGCTAGTCTATAGCAGGTTACACGTTGCCCGAACAATTTGCCAAAACCCATTCTTACTCCTCGGTAAAGGAAGGCAATGGGAAAAAAGTGTCTTTCCCAAGGACATAACATAGAGTCTGACATTTCGCGTTATAATTAGCAGTATTTGGTAACAAAACAAAACAAACAAACAAACAGACAAACGCACCTAAGATGCGGTCAAACCACGGCCCCGGTGAGGTTTCCGTGGACCGTCCATTTGAAACGTCAGCTGCAGAGCTCTCTGGAGTTTCATCATCTTGTTCTGTGGTCAGACAAAATAAAAATAATCTTCTAACACCCTTTTATCCAAAATTCGACCTACTGGCATTACACATCTAATTACTGCAGGAATCTCTGAAGCCTGTTCTTTCAAGGAAATTGCGGCTTTTAATATTCATAACTGGTTTGTAATTTTCAGTTATAAAGCGTTCAATGAGTGTAACTGGATAAAATATTAGTTCATGGTTAAATGAAGCCATAGAAAGGGAGGCGTTCCAGAGGCAATGAGATCTGCCATTTTTGGCCGGTATAATTAAGATACAAATAACATTTATTAAATTGAGAGTACCAACGACAATCCAAAAAAATACTATAAAGATGTTCTTTACAGTGGCATCCCAGGAAAAAAAAAGGAAACTGAAATTGTGAACGTGAACGTTTAGAACAATTGTCGCCTTGAAATAGAATTGAAACCGAAACAAAACAGGTTTTCCGGCAATTTTACAGGTGACAGCGACAAAGTCGACCATGTAAGAGAAAAGCCAAAACAACTGTCTGATCGAGTATTGCAGTGTTTCCTCACAATGAAAATTATGTAATTAATGGACAGAAAGCACAACATGAAAATTATAACTTAAATCAGCTGTCAGAAATTGGGGAATGTTTTAAAATATGGCGTTAGAACAAGAAATGGCTAAGCATGGACAATGATATTTGTTCTGGTAAGTGAGCAGCGTTAATGAGAAGCCACCCATTTCTTATGGCTTTCAAGTCCGTTACGAACGGACTGTTTAACGTGACAAATAAAAGTGTGATACGAAATAAGAATTAAACCACAATAGAGGATTTACCTGCAAGCACCAGGACAATAAACACCAAGCTCAGAATAAAACAACCAAGCACATGTCTTGCCATCTTCATGGTTCAGAACCCGCCCTTGGAGTAAGTGCGTCGAACAAAATCGACCTCTTATGAAAAAAGCCGAAAATTTGACCACTTGAGATTTGCAAATATTACATCAGAAGGAAAGGGCGTATCAGGGTCAGCCCACCAGCCTCGAAATTTGACTGCATCTTGAGATTACTTGACCGGCTTGTCAGAGCGCCACCAATGGAGGACTCGTTCGTTTTTGTTTTGTTCCTCCCCTGACAGGGCGTTTCTCAAGGACAGGTACACGTGTTGCGAACTGTTCTATTAATAAGATCGTAAGTGGAAGGTTGATTGCTTCAAGTGGAACACTCGACGGTGATGACACCGCTATTGGAACCTTCGATCATCGACTGCGTCGAACGTTTGATCACCGCGGTTTGTTTTGAATGTGTCCTCATCTGGTGAAAGGCAGTTACTGAACGCAGGTTTTCCAGGTCATGGAGCACGTAATAGCAATCAAGACACGCCCGAGGGTCAGGAGAGCCTGTAGCAGGTCCACCTATCCAAGTGCGATATTCTAGATAAACACTGTCTTTTCGAATAACTGATTAGATACAAAAATCGAACGAAAAATCCGTAGTAAGAAATGTGGATCCGGCACTGTTTTTTTTTTTCACATCAAGCATGTTATGAAAACAATTGAGTGACATCAGCATGTCCATACACTGCGCAAAATAGATACAACTGAAAAAGTGATCTTTTTAAAATAAATATCAAGACAAAGTCAACATATTCTCCTAAGAGCAGCATTAAGAAACACCATGGCGGAGACATTTAGTTGTTTTCTTTCTTCAATGTGGCGAGCGGGACACTCGACGCTAAATTCATTTACCACTTCATTTACGCGGATCTAATATATTTTGAGGATATTCTCATGACAAAGTAGACCAAACAGAGACAAAGGCGCGTTGAAGAGTTCTGCCAACCAATTTTGCAGATTACTTGATTTCTGTGCCGATTTGTACTATTTGTAGGCGATGATTCATGTTTAAAAATACAAAGATTGTTGTCAAGCCTACTGAGCCCAAACAAGAACGAGAATCACCAAGAGTGATCCATGAGAGTTGCATGACAGTTTTCTTTAAGTGTCAGCGCGGGAGTGGGGAAGAAAAAAGAGAAAAACTCTGCACGACTTTCAAGAAGAATTTGAGTTAACTAAAATTGCGCAACAGTCCACGAGTTGCTGACAGAGCAGATTTTCATACCCAACAAAAGCCAGAGCTTGAACTCTTGTTGTTTCCATTTGGTCCTAATTGATTGTTCACCACTAACGAATCACACTATTATGCTTTACCCAGTCCAACAATCGCTCATCATCTCAAAGCTAAATCTAACCTGTGTTAACCAGACCCCTCTGGGGTTACATCAGACCGGGGAGGGGTCTTATAATCGGAGAGAGTTTTGAGTCTAGGAATGGGAAGTCTTGTCACCAAGTAATACACACCCACCAGCAGTGATTAACACACAATAATCATTTTTGTGGCTGACCTTTTATTAACCTTTCACCGAAATAACAAACATTTCACCATTTTGTATATTCGTGTTTTTCACGGCTTACCACATTTGATTTTGGTAAAAGAACCATATTCCAAGTAAACCCTTTATTGTATTACGACCGGCTTTGCTGCGTTGTGTCCTGTCCAAATGTCTTGGTTCTAAACACAAATGACACCGTGTTGCCAGCCTCTGTTACAGCATCGTCCTGTCAGAGAGATGGTGTTACGATCTTATTTTGAGACGCTTAAACATATCGAGACCATAGGAAAGCTAACAAGGATTGTTATATAGCTGTAGTTTAGTTGAATCTAACGCGCGCTCTTATTGGTAGATTTATGGTCACATGGCAAAGGCTAAATCTAATTGTCGCCTCGGCGAGCGATAATTACACAAGACTGCTTTTCATGAAGACCGTGTCTAAAAATACTTAAAATTAAGACATTACTTTAAACTGTGGCGACTTAATTTAGATTTGAAATCGGTCAGTGAAGATGCTTGTCTTAGGTCTATAGATAAGTTGTCCCACAACTGAGCTCCGCTGTACCAAAAACTTCTCTTAAGATAATCAGTTCGAGGTTGTGGAAGAACTAATTTGTTTTGGGTATTCCTTAATTACTGGTCCCTAGGTAAACAGTTAATTTTGCTTTCCTCGGGACCAGTAAATAAGTGGATAAGGTTTAATAGATCATAGGACAGCTAACAATGAAGGTTTCATTTTGTGCGCCAGTGCTCGACAAGTGAACGGAACCCATTGAGAAGGACGAGTCCCGTGCCTTCATGTTACGGAATAATCTCTGGCGCTGTGGGAGAGTGACCCAAATCTGACTCAGCCTTCAGCTTCAACAAATGAAATGCAAATGAAAAAGAAGGGAAGAGAGATGTACTAAGAAAAAGGTGCTTTTCCATTTAGAGTTCATTAAAATTACCCAATAGCAGCACAGCTATCAATGATGTGAAGGGCTGAGCACCTTTAAACACCAACCATCTTGAGAAGAATTTAATGTTTATAAAACCTTACTACTGTACCCTTATTCTGCATTACCTCAAAGTCTGAGCCAGGAATGCTTGGAGATGGAAAGTGCTGCCAATCCATTAACTCTGCTATCGACAGAGTTTTCTAAAAAAAACGTTTCAGAAAGTAAATTAAACTTGATAATCGAAACCCTTGTTTTGCACAAAAAGATATTTGTAGGACTTATAGTGCGACACGTCAAATTCTACCTCAACTTCGTCTCAGTCCATATAAACACTACAAAGAACTCTGTCTGTAAGTGTCACAGATGTACTATACCTCACGTTCGGAGGAATAACATTTACTGTGACTGCTTGTCAAGCCTGGAACAGCTTACCGCTATCAATGCGGAAAATAGCGTCGCTCAATTCTTTTAGGAACTCTCTTTTGAAAAACGTTTTTGAAGAACAGCAGCTTTTAAATCATTTTATTCTGTGATTTAGTTATACTTTTATACTTTTAAATGATTTTATCTCGTATCTCTTGTATTTTTATTCGTTATATTATCTCATAATTTAGCCATAGTTTTAACATCCGTATAGAACATAATTTGTAGAGGGCCACTGGTTTGTTAGTATTTTTATACTATTTTAGTGCTACCCTCTTTAAATAAAGTCTTTACTTACTTATTTACTTACTTACAATAACAACTTTTTTATCGGGTACATAATAAGAAACGACCGGGCCCAGTACGGGGATGCTTAGGCACGTGACTTGGTTTACCCAAGCTCACGTGACAAATAGATTCCCGCCATATTCACTAGAGAAAGACGCTGTGGCAGCGTCGAAAGCTTGTTATCGTTAGAACATTGACCCTGCCTCGGTATCTCGTTTCGTATTAACTTTTTTTATCTTTCTCGCGCGTTTTTCGGCGCTTAAATTCACTTATTGTTCACACCTGGCTGCTGTTGTTATCACATCTTAGCTGACAGGGCCTGGTGGCGTGACGGCTTGATTGGTGATTGGCTGCTGGCTCTGATTGACATTCCTCGTCACTTTCAACCTTGATAAAAAGCCAACAAAATGTTGTGGTTTAAAATATTTGAAAAACATGTTGCCAATCATTTTCAGTTCTCAATTCTTATAACCCGTTACTGGAATAGTCGAAAGCGGTAAGAGTTCTCAAACAAGTTAAAACAAGTTATAACTTGACCCACCTCTGACGTCACGCAGTTACACTGCAGGAGGTCGTGTGTAAGACACAAGGTGTTCTCATGTAGCGTGAACAAGTCCTGTGGGATCAAATAACAATCAATTAATACTAACGACTACGCTCCTTCCGCTAACAAAGAGACCAGGTTTGATTAGAACAGAGAGTCATTGACTATGGAGCGAAAACACATTGGCAACGACTTCTTTGTTGATCAAGGGAACAACTTGTGTAGTTTTCGCTTGGTGTCAGTTTAGTTTGCACTGCGTTACATAGTCTCTTACGCAGCCGTTATTTGGATCGTCATGCAACTTCTAACGTTGTGGAGGAGAGTTGCTTGACAATTTTACTATTGTAAATAGCTATAGCTATAGTATTTTCTTCTAATTTAACTCGTTTTTGTTATGTCCCCNCCAAATAGCGGCTGCGTAAGAGACTAGCCAAATAGCGGCTTAGCCTGGCAATTTGCATTAAATACAAAAACCACCGTAGTTAGTAGCATTAAGTAATTACCTTAAGATCCTCGCGGGAAAATTCAACTTTTACAGCCTCCTTAGCATCAGCCACCGTTCCACTCAGCCCTTGCTTGGCGGTTTGACGCTGGTATATCTTTTCTTCAATGGTTCCCTGCATTAGTCAATCGAAGTGCTCTATGAGCAAACCCGTGATCGACATGAGCTACCTTTGCGTGAAATGGCATTAATCTTTTCATGAAACAGCACCAATGTTTTAAAAGGATAAAGCAAAGACCAAAGCTCCTTTACTGAAAGAAATGATTCTAACAGTAAAATTTTCCTAAGTGGCAAATTAGAGCCAGAAAAAAAGGCCTAAAATTAGACATAAGGCGGTTGAGATTAACTCTTCCCCAGCAGTGAAAGTGTAGAAATGTTATACCAATCGTTCTTTGCAACGTCTGCTGACCGAGTTATTGACACTTAAAATATAGACGCCTTTGAGTAATTACCGTTGTCAAGAGACGATAAATATGAACTGTCTTTTTCTGACCATCTCTCCACACTCTTGCCATTGACTGTTGAGTAAACAAAAACATGAATGAGGTCACTGAGACAAGTGGGAGAGGCTTAAGAATGCAGAAGACAAAAATACTGGAAAATAGAGCAGATGTATTGGCACGCTCTCATGTGAGGTGCCAATTGGGAAGCTGAAGCAGTTTTGCCACATGCGAAAAATTACAAATACAAACGAATACAAATCTTTATTCAAACCTGTATATCATTGGCTGGATTCCAGTCAATATCAAAGAGGACAAGCCTCGATGCTCCAATCAGATTCAATCCCACTCCACCAGCTTTAGAACTCAACAGAAATACAACTGTACCACAAAAGAGAAAGCGGACATCTGAGTCGACACTGAGTTTATGAGGTCAATGTATTACAGAGAAGCTTTCCCACTGAAAAGCGTGGAGACAGTGTGTACAGAAACCTTTTTCAACTTTTATTAGACTACTAGTAAGGATTGGGACGAGACTTGGGCGCAGCGTCCATACCGGCCTTTTGCGTTCGGGTTCACGGACAAACACTCGTCTGACCGTAAGAGAAAAGAACGGCTGACAGCAGTCTAACCTTTATGGATCGGGGCACATATATATATTTTTATGTTTATTTGTGTTTCATGCATACACATGGATTTAACAACTTGACTAGGGGTAGTGTACATTGAACGAGGGTGACTTCCACTATTTTGCTGTGAACACGACTATGTACAGAGGGACCAGTAACATGAAACTTCTTTTTCACATCTATAAAGACATTCAATGTCATTAGTCATTCGAAATACTAATTTTGTTGCATAATCTGTCTTAGGGTTTCAAACGCTGAGGAGCATGTCCTCCCCTAACACCAAGACTTCATACTCTTCAACCCCGCAATCCTAAAGTCTTGAAACGAAAAATAGTGAGGGCCTCCGGGGATTTTGGAGAAAAAGGGAACATGATCATTTATTTCAAGCGAACAGTGATATTTTTTCAATTCTTTGAGGGAACAGGGGATATCTCTACTTTTAAAGGGAACTTTGACAAAAAATCTTAGGGAACACTGGAATTTTTTAACAGCGAACAAGGGAGAAAAAGTGAAATTTTCAAGGGATCAAGGGAACATGCTACCCCCCTCCCACCTTGGGAGGCCCTTAATAGTTCGAGATGTCGGGGGTTCGAGATAGCTGATGGTAAGTGACTGAAAAAGTATCCACGGGAAGATGAATTGCGGGAAGCTGGAGGTAGCGAGGTCAGTCTACTGTGTGTACAACTCTTAGTCCTCTAGCTATAGCTGCAATCAGGCCCAAAAGAGTTGAGACATTTTTGCAGATCGGACATTTTCGAACCGAGTTCGTGCGTCCCTTGATAAAAGAAACACCTTTTTCGTCAATAGCCACCCCCATCCCCACATACCCCCCATCCCCCACACCCCCCATCAATGTCGAAGCAGAGTTTGACGACGCTGTCACGCGGTTACATCATTGGAAAGGGGGGAGGGGCGAAATATGAGGAATGTACGTAGGACAAATTACATTTGGACAGAGAAAGCTTTTTTTCCGGGCGGTGTCGGCTACCTTTGCCCCCGATTGTCTGGATTATAATTTGAAAAGTAAGAAGCATACTCGGCGTTCTCATTTAGGAAAACTCAAAGACCGGATTCAGCATTGTGCTGCCTCTGACGGAAAGCCTCGTCTCGCGCTTTTAAAGTGAAATTATTACGTCACAAAGGTTTACACTAAGGATTTAAAAACACTTACAGATTTTGCAGTGCTTATCATTGAAACGATCCACCAGTGATTGTCGTTTGCTTGTCGGTGTCTTACCATCCAGTCGAAGAAATTCATAACTTCTGTTCTTACAGAGCTTTTGAAGTAAATCAAGAGTCTGTGGCGCGAAAATGAAAACAATCAGAGAATCTACGAAAACAAGCCTTTCTCAAGGCATGCATTTGCAGGTTGAACGGGCCCAGTTGTAGCTGGAAAATGATTGAGCGTGGTGGATCATGTAGAGACTGTAAAATTAGACTAATAAAGACTACAGCTGAGATCAAATGACAAGAACACACGACAAGAGTCGAAACAGAACTGTAATAAAACTACCAAAGTACAGCAAAATTCCCGTTAAAACGAACAAAATCCAGAAATACAAACATAAAATCTACCGCGATATAGCGATAAAATGTCATCACGCAACTTCATTCGAATTGCGAAACAGATCAAGAAATATTAAAGTTCTTCCATCCACGATCATGGTCCCCTTGTAAAAGGCTCTACATTCCGAATTTTCTATCGACAGCTCATTCACTATATATCTGCCGCCTTAGAACACTACCTCAAAGGCATGCAAAGTGGTGTAACATTGTAATTAAAGGCAATATAACAAAGATCATGGATGTTTTCACACAAACTCGTGGTGCGTAATGTTCAAGGACCATTTTTACCTGAGTGTAATTTGACACAAGCACCACTCTCTCTCCTTGGCGGTGTATCTGAGCCAGTATGTGACTAAGAACTTGAAGTTTTCCTGAGTGGTCTGTGGTGAAGTGATCAGGCTTGTAATCCTTGGGAAACGAACGATCAAGGCCTTCAAACACAGACGTGTCCTGAGTCTGAACAAATGATTAAAAGAAATAAAATCAGTTTAAAGAGTATTACAACGGTTTAAAACGTATTAAGAAGACTAAAAAGTTAATTGGGGGGAAAGCGTCTCAGGATCCTGACAGCGACGCCACGTGAAGAAACCATTGTGAGAATGTTTGGAGTTGACGTAGAAGACTGCCAGCAGCTCCAGTAGCTGTAGATCTTCCTCCGCAGCGTCATCGAACAGGTTTATCACCTCAGATGAAAACCGCGAGGGCAGTTATAAGAAAAATGGCGCAGGTAAACCTCGCAGGGAGTCGGATTGAAGCAAAAAAGAGCCGCACCTCTATGAGCAGAAGGCGTGGGGAATAGCGGTTTGAGGGCAAATGGAGAATGTTTAGAAAAGCGGAAAGCAGCAGAAGTTCGCACACAAGACTTTCGTTTTCGCGCTCATTCCACATTTTAAGTCGCTTGCACAAGACAGCGTCTCAGGGATGACAAGTGCATGAAACGGACTGCATTTCCTCGTCGGATGTTCTTTTCTTCTGCTTGGCTCGCGTAGTCTCGCGCTACAGAATGGGCGGTCCCGCGCGAGCAACCAAAAGTTCCTCATGAATCCTGTCAGCCTGCACGTTATTCCCGCAGCAAAGAAACCCCCCCCCCCCCCCAAACCTAGCAGCTATCAAAAAAGGACGTTAACGCCACAAAAAGAGCTCCCTAAATTTGATAACCAAATTGTTTCACTTACGCACCCACAGAGTACAAAAGTTTCTTTACAACCTATCCTTTCTTAATCTATATTTAACAAATAAAGAAGCCTAGGCCGTGTATTACACTGTGATAAAACACGACGGGCATTTAAGAACACGAGGGAAATGTAGAAAACACTCGCCTGCGGCTCGTGTTTTCTACATTTCTCGAGTGTTCTCAAATGTCCGTAGTGTTTTATCCCAGTGTAATACACGGCTTAGGCCTCTTCATTTGCTTTATGATATAGGGGTAATGTGGCGACAAACAATAAAACACGCTTTTTCTATGTTTTATACTCTGATAAAACATGGGTTTTCGACCAGTCAGACCGCGCGCAGGGTCCTATCTATATTATAATTCAAGTTATGAGGACAAACATTCCATCTCTTTAGGCTACTACTAAATCAACATCCAAACGTAAAGCTTAGACTGAAATGACACACGAAACTCACCTCATCCATGTCCCAACTGTCAGCTATCTCTTTTGCCTCTTGGCATTGTGAATAAATGAGGCTGGGATCATTGCACAGTTTTTTTAAAGCACCAATGCACACCAAGTGTCGTGACCCTCCAAAGGAATATGACGTCAGACATGACCGCACAGCACGCGATGTAAGAAGATGGCGATACAGTGAAAGCTGAAGAAGACTGGGCCGACAGAACACGACTGATTCCACTGAGAGGAAGCGAGCGAACAAAGAAGTGATAAGCTATGAGCTAGCAAATATCTCTGACTTTCTATAAACCGCAGTGACGCACACTCGTTGGGGGAGACTTGTTTTATAAGCTGCCATAAAGTACTCCCGTTCCACCGTAAAACTAAGGCGGGGTAACAGGAAAAAGTTGCCTGAGTGTGGGTTAAGCAATCACAGTAGCGAGATTTTCTTTCCAAAAGCCATTAAGAGAGATGGTGTTCGCGCTACATTTCCAAATCACTAGATGACAAAAATGTTTTTCTTATCTTATCTCTATTTAAAGGAATCGGACTACTCACAGGTTTTGCTAATATTGTGATAAGTACTTTACTTTTTTAATATTGTCAAGTGCTTAACGTTATCGTTAATGCGCGTACCTTTAGGAGGAAGATAGCGGCTGTTGACCTCTGCTGTCCGCCTCAAGAAAAACAAACTCGTCAACCTATTGAGCTAAGATACGAGAAAAAAAAACAAGGAAAAATATCTGTGAGCGAATTTATCTATTACCAGACAGTATCGGGGATCGAAACGCCCAAAAGTTAAACTGCGTCAAAGAAACGAGCTTGTAGCTGCAGAGAACGTTTTCTAATCATGTACGATTCTAGGTCCAAACTGGCATTTTCAACCTAGAATATAAACTCAATCAACTGAATGCAGTAAAGTTTATTTTAATGTTAGTTTTGAGAATTTATCGGTGGATCAAGACAATATCCACTGATTGATGATTATCTTTATTCTCATGTCCTCGTCGCTTCAAGATATATGATATTGTAAGGAGAAAATAGCGGTTGATAGCTGTTGATTACCTCAGCAGCTCTAAATTGACCTAGTAGTTTCTCCTCACTACTGGCATCAGGTTGCTGTCCCCGGACAATGGGTTCGTCGTACAATCGGCGAAAAGATGATTGTGTACCTAAAGAAACAGGTATCACCATTAAACATACCAGTGGTGGATCTGGGAAATCAGTGGGCAGAGGAGTGTCGAGCACACACCCCTCCACCCTCCCCCGCCTCCTATCTTTAGCTAAAAAATACGAGGGCCGAAGTGCTCTAAAATGTTCGACTTGTTGGGGTCTTTCTTCACTCCCTGCCCCTTTTCGAGCAAGAATGGGCTCACTTTGACTCAAAGTTCCTGCCCCCATTTCCCCGCTCCACTCTCTGAATCCGTCAATCCGTCCTTTATCATTGTCTCGCTAACTCGCTAAATTCGTCGCGACCTTTGTTTTAAGCGCTTCTAATTTCCCGAGTATCAAGTGAGCCATATGGAACAGAGTAGGTGATGAAAATCACTGCCTTGTTCATGTCTAGTTTTTGTTGTTTTTGTTTTGTCACTCCATCACTGGGTAAGCTGTGTTAACAACCTGAGGAAAACTTGAACAATGGTAAACGGTGCTATTATGACAAGAGGAAAGCCGCGACACGTCATTTTTCCTTTCCATGCACAAATATGACACTAAGGAAGGCCTGATAATCAGGCTAAGATGAAACGTACCAAGAATCCCTGGATTACACACATCGATGAGTGAATGAAATTCTTTGAGGTCATTCTGTATGTCAAAGAAAGAAAAGAAATGAAATAAACAGTTTGACCGTTTCCTCCTGTACTTATACCTGGCACAAGTGTGTAGGCTTGGGGTGAACCTAATGTAGTCTCATTACTTACGGCAGTTAACTCTGAATCAGATTAGCAAAATACACGGGTTAGCTTCTTCAAGACAAAATTAGAACGTGAGAGATAAACTGATAGTCTTGATCAGGAGAAAATAGCGGCCAACCTGCACTGGAGTTCCCGTAAGAAGAATCCGCCGCTTTGTCTTGAGCCCAGAAATCATCTGCAAGATGAAATAAAATCAAACTGATGCCGCCCGACTCTTTTATTCCAAAGTGTGGGGATAGGATATCCTATTTTAAACAGCGGAATCAGAGAAAGAAGAAAAGCTAACAAAATTCCCAGAACTCACCGTAGCAGTTTTAATCGCGGTGTTTTTCAACCTGTGTGCCTCATCACAGATAACGAGTCCAAATTTTATGTCTCTGACTTCTTCTACTGAGCGTAGGAACATCTCATAGCTGATAATCATCACTGGATAAAGAGGACTGTTGATAAACTCCTGCAATAAACATTTAAAACTGTTAGATTAAGGCTGCGGTAGGATGACTCACCTACCACTACCATAGCCACTACCACTAGAATCATCTCGAAACTCGAAAGATGGACAGCCAGAGTCCAGTTCGGTGGGGAGGTGGATTTTTCACGTCCTCCGTCAGCTTTGGTATGAAATCCAAGAACGAGAGAACACTCGCCCGAAATACCTGTATTCAAACCTACGTTGTCTACAAGAAATGCTCTGTTGTACTTTTTCAGGGAACAGTAGTTTGGAAATTTTCTGCCAACACCTTGAGCTGAACCACAATTCTTCACCTTGACTCTCTTGTCGGAGTTGACAGTATAGACTTTCAGCCTCTCGTTACCAAGCCACTTGCGGAACTCAGAACTCCAATTCTGGAAACGGCAAGAAAGAAAGAATTTAGCCACGAAAAACCTTTCAACAACGTTCAGTAACTGACAGTAACAAAATAAGTAAAGAAGGCCTTTAGTAATGTGTCGAATGTCATCAATTACTGTATTGGTGACACAGTAAAAAGTAAACTTAAAAATACTATGGATAAAATATGCCATCCTGATATTTTTTTTTCTTGGTTTTGTTCTAATCTAAAACGAAACTAATCATATGATACAGTTAAATCCCGCTAATTCGAGTATATTAAATTAGTCTTGGTACAAAATACCTTGACGAGACTTCCTGGTGTTATAATGAGTGTTCGCTTGATTGAAGGATGTCCACCGTACACGCCTTGTTTATGAAGCGTCCTGTTGTAAAACATCTCTTGAAAATCAATTTAACTTGTACGAGTATTGCAGAATATAAAAAAGAATTTCAAGAGCGTCGGCAAAATTACGGCGGAATATCTAAGTGCACGGTTTTGTTTAATCAGAGCGCGACGCGAACGCGAAACTTAAAATATTTGTCATCCACACCAGTGACCAACCTGTCTCACTCCCACCAAAAAATTGCAAAGTGGTGCAAGGCCTGTACACACCTATAACAAGAAAAGGAGTTCTTCGACAAATAAGAAAACTAGCAGTCTTACCATATCAAAGAAATGCACTGAAGAGTTTTACCCAGTCCCATATCGTCCCTAAACACAGAAAAAAGAAAACAGTTTCAGTATCAGGATGAAATACCGATAGCGTTACAATGTTCGTGACGATGCATTAATTTTAAAGTGTACTTTAGTAGTTAAGTAACGTTACCAGCCAAAAGCGCGCGAAATAGCCAGCCAGCAAGACATTCCCACGTCACGACCATGAAGCTATTTCGCGCGCGGTTTGGCACAGCAAACGTTGTAATCAATTTTCGACTGCTGATGGAATTCTTGTAGAAGATTCCTACGTGATCCCTGAAAACTGAGTAAGCAGGTGTTTGCTCTGAAAGCTAAACGTTCCGATTTGTTCACTTAGCTCCTAATCCAAGCGGAAATGTAGCCTTTTAGAGCCAAAGATATGAGTAATTTTCTCCGCACTTCAGTTCCTTTTCTGATCGGTTTATTCAGTTTAGTAATCAGAATTTTGAGTCAATCAAGAGCAAATATTATTTGGGTTGCACACTTCCTTTCACCAACCCATCACTTTTAACCGTTATATCGATTTATTTTTGCCTTTTCACACCTTAAAGATTGTGGGGTTTTTTTTGGGATTCAACGCATTTAGCGGAAACACGTCATACCTCAGCGTACAGTCGTTCAGTGCAAAGACTTGCAAACAAAACCCCGGCCCACTAAGTCTGATAATACTCACGCTAAAACTGCACCGTTTCCGTTGAAATTCCTTAACCCCATCACACACTCGTAAAGGAACACCACACCTTCCCTCTGATGGGGCCTCAGATGCTGCGACAAATGTGGGTCCACCACAACGTCTATGATATCCAGTCCCCCTTGATTGTGTTCGAGCTGTGTTAGGAATGAACAAAGTGCGACAAGTTAAGTGAAAACTAAACAAAGTGAGCCACTAAGGCAATCGTTAATACACTGCGATATGTACATGCAAAATAATTCAACAGCGTAAGGGTCCGAAAGTAAGAAATAACATTTCGCAGTTGTTCGCAAATCTCGAAAGTAACACACCCCCAAAAATAGCGGCCTCAAACGCAACTTTACTTTTCAGATACGAAACAACAGATAAAACAAGCCTTTAATAAACTTATCTAGTTTTTCATTTAAGTTAAGACGGGCGTTACTGTGTTCAATACGACGATGAATAATTTTCAACATGTTTTATAGACTTTCTCGAAGCCCTCTCGTTCCTCTTCGCCGCCATCTTCGCACACGAGTTTTGAGCGTCGCGGACATTTCTCTCGCAACGAACTTGGAGTTCGAGCTCGACTAGTGAGCAAGTCCACTAAGTGTACTATATGGTCCAGAGACTGATCGCCTTAAATTTTTATCATGCAGTTGCAAACCTCCGAAAGTCAAACTAACGATAGCAAAACGCTGCTAAATCCGAAAATACCGAGGGAAATTACCTACAGGACTTTACGGTAGTTTGGCGAGTTGATAGAGGAATTACGTAATCGCCATGGAAGGCGATACAACTGACGTTTCGAACGTAAGCTGTTCATCAAAGCAAATTCAGAAGTTTGAAAAGCGGTTACCTGATGAGAAGCACTGGGCCGAGGCATGACAAGAGCTCCAGGGGAGTTGACGTCATGACGTGACGTCACAGCCTTCCGGGTTTCCGCTTTCACATCTGTCTTCACGTTGCAAACGAAAGGCTTGTGCAAACCTTGGTAAAGAATGCAACATGGAAGATTTAGGAAAACGTTTGGTGAAATTTAAAATGAGTTTGGTTTATGAGGTCGTCACACTATACGGGACATGTTGCGGGAACGTGAAGGCGATTTTGGTTCATTTCTATGTTGTATCATGAACAGTTTGCAAGGGCAGTGCAAACAATGCGATTTGAAAATTAAGGTCATTATTTCACTGTTTCATGGAGCACGAATTCAAATCCGCTGAATTTCATGCAACATGTTACGGTGACAAAATTTTGTTCCGGCAACGGAATTTTTCCGCAAAAACGGACATGTCATGAGAGAAAAACTGTCCGTGCAACATGTTCCCTAGTGAATGTCGACCTATGGAGTCTTCGAATGCCCTTCCCACAATCAACCACATCTAGCCAATCACAACAAGCGCAAACAACGCAGTAAACCAATCAGGACTCGAGACAAAAACGTGCAACCAAAGCCAAGCGCGGGAAAACGGTCGTGCTTCTGATTGGTTGAAAAGAGTACTACGCTTAGAACTGGTTAGATTGAATAGGAAACTAGTTACACAATGAATCATGTGTTTACTTTGCCTACTGTCGAAAACCCCTAACTGTGAGGGAAAATCGAAACGGCAGTGAAAAATCTCGCAAAATCGGCGAAAAATATATGTTGGAGAAAAAGCAGCGAGATCTTTCCGCGCCAGTTCCAAACAGGTCTATTAGTGCTGGCGACCTCCTCGTTAATGTGGACAACAACCACCCTTTGAAGTCCCAAGGCTTTATTTGGTAAATGTATTAGGAAAACATCTTCATGCTGTCCAATTTGGAAATAATCAGCTTGCGAGCAGGCTCACCGTTGAGTCACAAGCGCAAGCGAAGCTCTGATCCGACGGAAGGAGATAATATAATGAATTTATAAATTTATCGCCGGGGTTCCGCTTTATTTTCATCTTTTGTGCAAAAATACACATTGTTCAAGCGCATCTTACCGACAGAAAGCAGATTAGGACTACGGCATATATTGCAGCTCAAAGACCTCAAAGCTCCCCAGCAATAGTACGCTTCGTTAATCGGTTATTATACAAGAGTGCAATTCCGATCATTGTTCTCATACAAGGAAATTTGATAAGTGAAAGTAACTGTTGACTTAGATAATGGATTATGGATGTCTGGTTGTCATGTAAAGTGCAACCGCATAACCGGAAACGAAGAAAGATCGACTTGTCCTTTCAAATACATGCAACTGAGTTTCACTATCGGCATGGCTAATTCTGGACCACGCAGTCCTACACCAGACGACTTTGACTTGACCGCAATACTAAAATCCGGTGTACCCGGAGGTTTTTGGCCGTCAGACGGTGTCGTGCTTGCTGTTGCTAGAGGGAAAGATGGAAAGATTGTGTCACGGAAGGTCTACAAGAGCACGAGCACGCACGCTTACAAGAAATCTATCGAGGGGTTGGAGGAAAAGCCATTGCAGGGCGTAAAGGACTTATGCCTACTCAGCAACTTCTCACCGTGTGGAGACTGTGCAGAAAAATTGTGCGAGTGGAGCGCGCAAAATGAGGGGGTGTGCGTGTCGATTCGCTTCGCTCATCTTCATAACATTCACGTCCGTGTGCACAAGGTCGCCGAGGATAACGCCCTAGGTTTGAGAAAGCTGGTGGAGGAAGGCGTTCAACTGAAGGCTCTTTCAGATTACGACTGGCTGCAGCTGTTGATGATCGACCGGGGATTTGCCGCCAAGGATGAGTGGATCGCAAAGAGGAAGCAAGTGGACGAAAAAAATCAAAAGGATTTGGAGGAAATACTTCAGTCGACAAGCCTGGACGAGACACTGGAGAAGATGCGACTGTACTGAACAATTATTGAACATTTTAAGTTTCGAAACGGAACGTTAAAGTTAAACGAGTGAACAATGAGTATGAAAAGGAAATTTCCCAACCAAATGAACAGAAAAATTCAAATTTTAACTTATTGATCACGAACGAAGATGACCTCGGAGGACCTTATGGAGTGTGGAGAAGTATCATTTTCAGACTGGTGTTGAAAAACAAATTCAGTAGGAGTGGTAACGTCTAACGAGGTCAAGCGATGTTTAACCTCTTCCATTTGGAAGATTTTCATTCTCAATACTGAATCAAATTGAATTTAATAAAGTCTTTCTTAAAATTGAAATTCCCACATTCTGTGTTACGCTGGGATTTTTAAGAACGGGCTGAAGTTAGGACAAAGCACCGCCTCTCCCATTGGAAAATCTGGACCCTATTTACAGACTTTATTACATGTCTGTAGATCCTGAATTTAAAGACTTGGTACTTTTCCTTGTTAAAAACAGAATGTTTGTAAATTTACTCTACACACACTTTAGTGTTTTTGTGTTTTTTACACACGCTTTATAATTTGTTTGTTTAATTCTAACGCAAGGTTACGTCAATTAAGCACAAATTTGCGTTGACCCAACTTTCTCCTTGTCGACTTTTCAAACAATTACAGGCATTAATCTTCCGGATACTTCCACTTAAGAAATTGTTTGTTGAGCACGATTTGTACGAATCGAACACCTATCATAATTTTGCTCCATTTCAGTACTTTCGCAAAATTTGGCAGCACTCGGCCAGTACGTTCTTCCAGTACGTTCGAAATATGCTTATTTTATGAGTACAGAGATGGAAGGAAGTGCGCGCTCCTTTTCCGCAACATGGTGTAGTTGCTCCGGTCGAGGAACCCTGGATACTGAAGTTCGTCCTGTTCTGGCCCCTTAGTCTGGCGCTCTTTTTATACCAGTTGTTCAAAAGGTAAATATGTGCCGGATGTAAATCAGCACTTATCCACTGGATGACGTTATCCAGCCTTTTAGAGAGCGAATTGCCTATTTTAGCAAATTTCTTTCCTGAAATTCTCCAAAAAAAAATGTCTAAATATCACAAAACATTTTCTAAATATCTCGAAACCCCCTCCTTATTATTGTGGCAAAAACTCGCCGATTTTGAATCTCTCTGGGCAAAATTTTAAAAGTTTTCTTGCACTATTTGACAAAACTTCAGGTTCAGTTGATTAAAAAGTATTGTAGTAGCACACCTGTTTGTTTAGAAGGTGGCCTGGAGAGTATGTGTATTACTGGAGGGGATGAGACTGCAGGTTGCTGAAAGCATTTCCCACTTAGATAATCCTCAGCAGTTAGACAGCTCATAACCTGAGAAGACAACATGACATAGTCAGTACATGTGGTGGGACATGACAAAGAGGGTGGGAGGGGGTAAAGACATGGGGTATGGAAGTGATGTCTAAGGAAACTAAGGAAACTAAGGAAAAAGATGCCTCCATGTAGAATATTGCAGATTGACAGGGGTTTTCATTGACGTTTTTAGCAGGAAGGCAACTGGTTTTCATAGGCGGGCAAAATGTTTTGAACTGAACTTCTTTTTAGCAACACTTTCCTCTAGATGATCAGGTAGACAAAATCATCCTGACAACCAGTCAATTTGCTCTGTGCCTGGATATTAGTGAAACCCCTGGATTGAAGAAAGTAAAGATCTCTTCAATAGAGACCTTGATTAGGGGGAAATTGATTCTGAAAACATCAACAGGATACCCAATTGTGACTAGTTATGCTGAAGTTTGGTATCCTAGAGAAGAAAGCACATATTTTGGGGTCAATGTAAAACACTCCCCAGTCCCAAGTTTTTGCATCTTAGGATGATTAATAACAAAGGCCATAGCATAAAGTTTCTTCTCACCTCTATCTCTTTTCCACCAATACAAAGCGTGTTCCCCTCCTGAAGAGATTCTAGTTCAGATGACTTGTAACCGGTACCTTTGGCAATCCTGAAAAATTCATATGTGACATATTATCTGTACTTTCCACTCTCGTATCTTCATGAAAATGACTGACTATTTTCTTCCTTGTGCTAGAAAATGTGGCTCATAAGGAAGAGTCTTATTGTACAAGGCCCTTTGGTCCAAGAACACGTGGAATCTTGCTGCATGTGCTTAGCAGAACAACTCCATGATAAATTACATTTAACTGCATTTAAATATCACTTGTAAGCATTGTGTCACTAGTCCACTTACTCCTTTCCTTCCAGATCTTTCAAAGATGCAGTTCTCCCTTTTGTAATTAGTATACCTAAGTGTTGAATAAAATGATAAATAGCCCAGAAAAACTAAAACTGATCAGTGAGATCTGAGTCCATTGTTCGATTACTTTTCTCAAGGCCTTTTGAGAGGGTGTGATGGAGATGAGATCCTGATGGCAATGACAATGCTAATGACAAAGAATGCATTGTAAGCAAAAATTGGATGCTACCAGCAATTACATTTTCGATTATATACTTCAGTATGTCTAGATCCTCTGACATTCTATATCTAAAATGAGGGCACTGGCCACTGGGTTTGAAGTTTTCCTTTCAAATTTTGATGAGTAGTTTAGCCACGCCTTGGACAAGCATCATTTTGCTTGCTTTATCTGTTTTACACTCATTTGACTTTAAGTCATCTCTGGATGAGAAAATCTTAACTCCCTTTTCTCTTCTACCCCCTGTTAATATTAAATACAAAATTTCATTTAATCTCACAGCACCATATAATGCAAATTAATGTGCACAAAATATACTCACCATCTCCTTCCCACTTTTTATGCTAAAATGATAAAGAAAACAACTTTTAATTAATGTTCCTCAGTGTAATTAAAGCAATTATTTACTGAGAACAATATGTAATGTTATGATTCTAATATTGATTTGTTACCTTTTTCTTTGACATCTTTCCCCTGAAAAAAGAAAACCATTGTCAATGAATGTAACAATGAATGTCAATGGAGTCTTTCCTTGCAAAAACATGTATAATTCAATCAAAATGTTTAGAAGTTTCTGCACATTCTACATGAATTTCTGATCAGTAACTTACCAAACAACATTAAAATAGAGGTAAGTACTTTCCTTTCCATCAGAAATTGCTGAAAAAAATGACAAACATAAAGTGTACTGCACTAAGAAACAAAAATAATAAGCACCTCAGTGATAACAAGGATGCAAGAGAAAACTTACCAGAAGGAACATTTTCTGTGGAAGAATGTTGAAGAGGGCATTTGAAAGGTTCTGACCTACTAGTCACTGGAGTGCGTGAAAGAGGTCTAAGGTTATTAACCTTTAATTTGTCCTCAGGTTTCAATAAGTTTGCACAATTTGTTGGAATTGCACTATTTGTAGCGCCTTTAAAGTCATTTTCACTGGTGCAAGGACTTAGCATGGCTTGGTCAATCTCGGAAACTTCACAACTGATTCTGTCACTGGGCATCTGAAAATTATATTCAAGGAAATACCTTGGTTACTGTACACACTACTGTAAGTAAACTGGGTTCCTCTCAAATAACCTGTCAAACTTAATTACCACAAGAGTGAAAAATGTAATAAAGTAAATGACTGGACTGAAGGGAGTTTTCATTATGTGGAACAGGTACCTAGAGAATCCTGGGAAGAAGTTGACCCATATTTGGGTACAGACATTCACCAGACCCGGGTTATTTGAAAGGAGGACTAGTAACGCTATCCACCAGATAAATCACTATCCAGTGGATAGCGTGGCTTGTTTTGTTAACAGTTATCCATTGGATAGCAATTTATTTGGTGGATAGCATTATCCTGGCAGCCCTCAAACAAATGGGGCCAGGAGGAAGAACTGTCAAGCCTTTTATAATATGTTGAGTTATTATCACATTTTGATTGTTCTTGCAGTGCTTATGATCTGTAGTTTGTGTTGTCTGATCATCTGGGTGAGGATAGTTCTGAAAAGAACTGTGGTTAATGAATGATGTTTCAACAACCTGAGTGAAAGTCATCTTCAGAGTAAAGTGAATAGTGTTAGTCGATTTCAGAACTATCCTCTCCCAGACAATCACCGGGACGATCATACAAGACGAACTGCTGATATTCCTGGTTTGTTCAAATTGTTTCCTATGTTACTTATGATCTATTGGAGGACAGATGCATGGACAATTTTTTTGTTTCTTTATTATTTGAAACAAGCAGATTCCATGTTGCCGTGCGTCTATTCAGTGACAGATCATAGAAGATGTAAAAATGTGGTAAGTACATCAGTGACTCACTCACCTAATGAGTTGTCTTCCACTTTTTTGTTCTTACCACATTTTGATGACATCAGTGATCTATTACTGAACAGATGCACGGCAGTATGGAATTTATTTGTTCATCTGATACTGTCTATAATCTATGTAGGGTTACACCATTTAGTCTAGAGCCATATTTCAGACAAAAGACTGAGTGAAATTCAAAGACACTTTCTGAATGTCAAATATAGCACTGCAAGTGAATATACGAAAGATCATATATTTGAACTGCGGAGAAAGATATGAAGACATGATTGATCATCACAGTTATACACAACTTGAGCAGTTGTGAAATTAAAGCCTGAAAAAAATTCAGGCCTGAACGGGATTCGAACGCATGACCTCTGCAATACGTCAGTATTGCAGAGGTCATGGGTTCGAATCCCATTCAGGCCTGAATTTTTCTCAGGCTTTAATTTCACAACTGCTTAAGATGATCGGTCATATCTTCAAATATAGCACTACTGGGCTCGAAAAAAGTGATGTCCAGTCGTCAAGGACAAGTACATTCTCCTTTTGGGCAAGTAACTTTTCACTCTCACTTGCCCCAAAGGCAAGGGATCAGGCAAGTCATCTGCCAACTAAATTGAAAAAAGAGCAAACTAGCCCAGGGCAGGCAAAATTTTAGAGCTACTTGTCCCAAGGGCAAGCTGGAATTCAAGTTTTTTTTCAAGTCCTGCCTTGGGGATATCAGTAAAAATTTTTTGTTTTCTCTTAAAAAAACATTAAAATCAAACCTTTAGCTGACATGTTTCGCTACTATAACAAATGGACTGAGTTACTCGTTGAGTTAAGTTGAAAGAGCAATGTTTTCTCTTTTCTTCATGCACGTATCAGCTGTTTTTAAAACTACATGTAGTCTAAATCAGTGACTATGAATCTCGCAGGTCGCTTTAATATTCGTCCACAGAAGTCAAAAGGCAATCAAAAATTAGAAAGAACAAAATGTTACATTATTAACAGCGAAGTTATCAAAATTCAGCTGTGTTTTCGTTTATATGTAAGCTTGTGATGTTACCTGATTTGGATTTGATTGTTTGGCGAGCGAAACTGTTGTTGCACTCGTCGAGTTTCCTGTTGTATTTTCCTTGCTTCCAGCCAGAAACGGAGTGCAAAACTTCATTCTTTTGGCAGCTCTCACGGATGGAGCCGCGGAACGCCGCATTGTATTAAATTATGATTAGATCTTTATGACATTCATGATTTTCATTTCACAAAAATAATTTGTCCTTCGCGCCACTGAGAGGCAGCCTCGGTTTGGTGTTGACTTCACCCCAACCCACCCCTGTAACTAATTTCACTTTTTGAAAGAAAATGGTGAAAATAAAAACAATATCAGAATTTAATTTATTTTTGATTGATTTTAACTAGTGATTATATTTAAGAAGCTTTCTTTAAGGTTAAAAATCCTGTTCGCTAGGTTTGCTTCTAATTTTTTGGCGCGCAATACTAAGGCACCGCGCCTCCTTTATGATGCGCTGAGCTATGCACCCATAATGCTCTAGGGTGGTGTGGTGGTCAAGCGCATATCAAAGCTGTTGTCGAGGCGGAATTTTTCGTGGGGCCTTTAGCAACAATTTCTCATATTTTTCAGCAACAAACTGTGAAATACGCTTTGAAAATCAAATGGAAATATCAGCAGGTTAACGATGGAGGAGGGTGTAAGTAAATTTCGGGTGGATGGCTTAGTTTAGCACATTAATTTTGTGATTGTAGTAAACGTTATTTCGGTTAGGAAAAACAATATGGCGGCAAAATCGCGCATGCTCTGCCTCGTACGAAATTGACAGAAAATGTCATTTCCTCTCGCAGGATCATTTTGACGTCTCGCGTACGGGATAGAAATATTATGTCAAACAAACACTTCACGGATGAAACTCCTCGAAGAAGAGTTCGCAGGACACCCTCTCACGACTCGGAAAGACATCACAGCAGCGATATTAAAGTAGCTAGACCACTGGACGTTACAGAAAATGTACCCACCTCACCATATTCCGAAAGGTCATTTCATTACATGGGACCTCATGGTGGTGGTACAGTTCCAAGTCCGACCCGATCTGTCCAACCTGTGAGCCCTCACAGAAACGTGAATTATCCTCACCATGCTTTCCAGAGAAGTTTTAGTCAACCTGTGGGATCCACTGGTGAACTCTCTCCACGATCACCCTTTCCTCATTCTGTTGTGTCACCTTCACATTATCAGTCTTCATCACCCATGTATGTTTCTCCAGCGCCTTCTCCTTCAGCTCCGCCTTCAACACCGTCATGTGCAACACCCAGTAGTGTTACCTATACCCTTTCTCGTGGACCAGGCTCAGTTAGCCCAAGAGGCTCTGGGTTAAAAACGCCAGAATTTTATCCCGGCTTACCTGACGGATCACAATTGAGTCCTGCAGATCCCAGTTTTCCAATGCCATATTCATCAGAACATTTTGCTAACCCAAGAGAACAGCAGTTTGTTTACAGCGGAGGAGGCCCTTCTCCTGGAGGTACAATTCATCATCTTGGATATAATACACCTCGTAGAACACCACCACTGCAAAGTCCCTCATTATTTCCAAATCAGTTATCACCTGGTACAGTCACTTCTCGAAATCAGTCTGTATCAAGTCCTCAGGGTTCCATCAATCCTCATGCTGCTACAAGTGTCAGTAGGACTCATGGAGTGCCAAGCAGAGCAGGTGATAAATCTGCTGGCTTGTCATCTGATTTTTCAGAAACTGCAAAATTACGACAGCTTGTTATTGGATATTACAATGGAGAACTTGAAACATTAAAAGCTAATTTTCGGGAGAAGCTCCAGGAGCTCTATTTTCTTCAAACTGGAGGAAATATGATGGACTTCTTATTATGGAAGAAAAGACCAAGTCCCCAATTCCTTGCATTTCTCAATTCAAATCGACTAGATGACGCATCTGGAACAAATCCTACACTTTCAACAATCACTGTCTCACCATCATCTAGGCTTCCTCAAAGCTTTATGTGGCCTCAACAACAGGCAGAATCAAGCACTGCTGGTACAGTCAACTATAATGCCTTGCAAAGGCAAGTTTATGAACAAGCTGGTCTTGATCCAAGGAAAACTGTGCCTGGCAATTTCAGTGCAAATCCTGGTTATAAATCGCAGTTGTCTGTTTCTGAAGGAATCGCACCTAATGTTTCCCCTTTTACTGGAAACCAGCCAATTCCCAGATCAAATGTGGTAAACACAGTTCCACCATTTTCACGATCAGTTTCTTTACCAAATCCTCCATTAGAGGCACATGTACCACCAGGACATGGTAGCAGTCATTTTGGGAGTGAGTCTGTAACAGCTCCACCAGTCCCTAATAATCACATGTCTGGTGTCAACACAGCACAGCCAGGAATGTCTAGTCCGACAATTTCTAATGGGCCTACTCCGCTTACTCATGGAGCAAGGACAACGTTGAACACTAGGGGTCAGTCCTTGTCAGCAGTAATTGAACATTCATTTAGCTCTCAGGAGGATATTGCTGTTGAAGCGAAAAAGGAGGCTGAGGTGCTCAAGAGAGTTGCTGAACTACGTAAGGAGGGTATCTGGTCTTTGACTAGACTTCCTAAGGTTCAGGAAACAACGAGGTGCAAAGCTCATTGGGATTATCTACTTGAGGAAATGCACTGGCTAGCGACTGACTTTGCTCAAGAGAGAAGGTGGAAGAGAGGCATTTGTAAGAAGGTATGTTCAAAAAGGTAGTAAACCTTCAGGCCCGGTTGTTTGAAAGGTGGATAACGCTATCCAGTGAGCCTGGTTTGTTTTGTCAACACTAATGGTCTTATCCACTGGATGGCCATTCATCTGGTGGATGGTGTTATCCTGCCTTTGAACAACTGGGGCCAAGGGTTTAATTAAGTTTGGCAGACCTTTAAATACAGTAGATATCAACTGGGGCTGTGTGCCTGTAGATGTAAGAATTAATTATTCAATTTAAATGCATAAAAGACTTGATATCAGATTCTTTATCTTTTGCAATTTTACATGGAACATGGCTAATGAGAATACTATCACTATTGTAAAATCATTTGTAGATATCCAGAGCAGTCCTGAAGTACCACCAAGAACAGAAAAGCAAAGAGGTGAAGGCGGAAAAGGAAGAATCTGTTCGTCTTCGGAAAATTGCTGCAAGCATTGCAAAGGAAATCAAGCAATTCTGGTCTTCTGTTGAAAAGGTTGCTGTCCATAACTTGATGTTGTCTACATGTGTTCATTGTAAACTAGTGCTCAAATGACCAGCAGGTACTTCTTGGGGTCAAATAAATTGACCAGAAAACTCCAAATTCTCCAGTACCTCCAAATTCTCAGAACTAATGTGTAAAATCCGTAAGGGAAATCCTTTTAGCTCAGCACTGATTGAAATTTTTGCCTTCCTTTTTGCTTTGTTTTCCTTGTTGATTTTATTTAAGAAATAGAAAACATGTGCCGTGTTTCTATCAAATTATAGAAAAGCAAATTATAACAACAGAGTGCATAATAGCAGGAGTCATTTCCAGTCAAACCTCTGTAGCTTTTGCCCAGGATCTGGATTTTGTCTCAAATAGTGAGTGTCAGTAATAGCAGGGTGTCGGCAAGGGGAGAGTTTACTATAGTTGAATGATAAGACTGATAACAGAAAGAGGCACAACTTTTGTCTGAAACATATGATGGAGTCTGATATGTCTGATTTCACCCTCTATAGGTTGTTCAATACAAGGTTCAAAGCAGATTGGAAGAAAACCGGAAGAAAGCTCTAGACCTTCAGCTCAACTTTATAGTAGATCAGACAGAGAAGTATTCGTCGTGGTTGGCAGAGAGCCTTGCTGTTCCACCTTCTAGCGGCCCTGCCTCTGTGGTATCCGCTGGGGGTTCCTCTCCTGTCTCCTCTAAGCCTGAAACAGGTATGTGGAAATGTAGTGTAGCTGAGTTAAAACATTATAGTACAGCTTGTGTGTCTGCTGTACAGATGCGCAAGGGTCCATAGGCAGTGTAGACTGTATTAATTTGTCCATATTACTTAAAATGATAATGCATACTGTAGGACAAAATTGCTGTTTGGTGTTTGTTAGTGGGGTTTGGTTCTAAGAAAACTTGTTGCGTATACCACCTCACATTTGCATTCTTGATGAGCTATTTAAAAGGCTTTTCAAATGGTTTTTTTGTCAATTCTCCAAAACATTTAAGTTCACTTTCTTTGGAGTAAATCTTCCTAACATAGGTTAGCTTACCAAGGAATGTGATTTACGCATGACTTGAGAAAAGGATATAGGTAGTGCCATTTTTATTGATCTATCTCGAAGTTGTTAAAATGTAAACAATATCAGCAGCTTCTGAAGGTATTGTGCTTTGAAGGTGGTGACAGTGAGTTTGAACCCACTGAGGAAGCTGACGATGAGGAAACAATTGATGTCGAAGAAGCACAAGAACTGTCTGCCTCCAGAGAGAAGGAACTTGAGCTTTTAAGGCAGGAAAGTGAAATTCCCCTGGAAAAACTGTTGGAGGACTTACCACCAGAGATGCTTGAGGAGAGAAGTGATGAAAGTGGTTCTGAAGAGAGTGAAGATTCATCTGCTGAAGATGAAAGTGAGGCATCAAGGTAAAAGATGAGCGGCATATAAATTTAGTTGTGTTTAAGATGTATTATTTATAGTCTCCACAGTTGACATGTCAATTTTTTTTATCTCTTGTATTACAGCAAAGAAAGTGATAATAGCGACATTGAAGTGGATGTTGAAGGCAACAATGACGAAGAGCAAGAAGCCAAGGAAAAGCAGAAAACATCACAGATACGGTAGACATTTTAGAAATAGACAACTTGTAGGGCTGCAATAATACATTTTTCTACGATACGATATGCAACAACAACACATCCTGCAAATTGCGAGCAAATACATGTACTTGGCCACCTGCATGGTTTTACTATTTTGATCACAGGCTTACAATGGTGTGCAACTGACAAGCTAAGCAGCAATGAATGTATTTTCTTTGTTTTTATTGCTATTCAGTGGACTAAATGCTTGTTTTTGTAAAGGTTTGTTATGGTTATTACAGACTGAAAATTTACTCACTTCTTGACATATCGTGACTTTTTATTGTATCATTATTTTACAATATTCTTGACAACTATCAATATTTGTGTTGTGAGGAAAAATAATGAGATGCATCATTGCAGCCCTACAAATTTGTGCCACCATTGTCAAAGAACTAGATAATTGTCTTCTTAATTAACATGCCATAGCTTAAAGAAAGACGTTGTTCGTAAACAGCACATGTCAGTTAAGGTATCAAATGTGCTTGTTTTCCAGGCTTAATGAAATACAGTATATGGTAATGAGAGAATATGGTATAGACGATCACAAATCCTCCTTATCCTTTGGTTTAAAATATTTTGTCAACTAAAACACACAGCTTAACCTGAAGGTTATTTTACCCCTGCCAGGAAAACCAGCGTAGATAAAGAGGCAGTGGAGGCAGATGAAGAGTTTGTGATGACTGAGGGAGGTACAGAAGATGACGATGAACAAACATTGGAAGAAGAAGAGAAGATGGAGGAAGATCTTGATCACAAAGATGAGATTGACAACCTTCAGAAGGAAGGTAATACTTCAATCCAAATTCACATTTAGACATGGGTGTTGGTAAGGGCTGGCCGCCAGCTAATTTCACCTGCTGAAAAAGAACTTAAATCTGGCTGAAAAGACTTGTTAAGTTGAGAAAATCCAGCTAGGCTTGTTAATGAGCTGGTTAGTGTTTTCTTAGCTTCATCCCTGTTTAGGGCTGCTGAATAATATTTTGGGCTTCACAAAGTTTCTACTGGTATATGGCTTGCTAATGCCCTTTAATACTTTCTATGCACAGTGTAAAGTCCTTTCAGTGGCCACTTGCAATTTCCCTGAGGATTTTTCTTTGACCTTAGGTTTTGCATTGCATGGCCAAGATAAACTGCTGCTATAAAACCCATTAGCATTTTGTGACTTACATGTTAGTGGTTCCTGTCAGTAGTGACATGACATTAACCTATAATAGATTATTATTGCTGATGAATTCCTGTTGAGAGAATTAAAAGGGCTGTTAGTGCTTTGTAAGAGTCTTTTTGATGGGCTCAATACCTAGCAGGCTAAGATGTTTTCAAATGTTTCTACCTCAAGGTGAAATGCCCATTGAGGAGCTGATGAAGATGTACAGTGCTGCTGAAAACGAATCTACAGATTTGCAGAGTGACGAAGAGAGCTCACAAGAATCTTCTGAGGAAGGTATTGCAGAATAGGCCACTTTGGATATATTAAAATTCAGCTTGATAGTGAGGCCAAGAGAACACAAACAAAAGAAATGAATAAACATGTCATTCAATTTCTTTTGTTGGTGTCCTCTAAGCCTCACTGCCAAGCTGAATTGTGATATATCGAAAACAGTCTATTGATTGCCTTGTTCAAGGTTTGCAATCATCTCTGGTACATCTGATTCTCTTGTTTGCTTGTTTGTTGTAGAGTTGAGTGATAATGAAGGAATGGAGTACCTTGTAAAACAAGAGAAAGACAGAGCCAGTGAATCACAGGTTTGTTTACTTATCTTTAGTACATGACAAATCAAAGTTTTATGCAGAGTTAAACAGCTAAGTACTGGGGATGTGCAGCTGGTGCTCTGCATTATTGTTTCTTGCTTTGAATGGATATTTAAATGAGATTTCTAGTGAGGATACCGGCATACCTTGCAACAAATTGTCGTTACCCATGGATCTTGAGTTTCGTGCTCTAAACCTTGCTTAATCCAATGAAGAACAAATGTATGCTGAGGTTAAATAGATAAACTACAGTTTAGCCGCGCTAATTCTAAGTCAGTTATTTCGAATTCCACATTATTTTAAACTCGGAACAATTTCCTTGGATTTGCCCTTCCGTCATGTGCTATTGGCTATTTTGAACTCCTAATTTGAATTGTTATTCATTTCCTCTGAGAGTTTAAAATAGTGGGTTTAACTGTAATTACAAAAATGCTCCCTTTTTAAGACCGCATTAATGTATCAAAATAATTTTATTGTGTATTCAGAGTGCAGATTCTGATCCTGACCAAGAATTGACAGATGCTGCGGCAACAGCACAGAGCTTGCAACCTCGAGGATTCACTCTAGAAACCACTGAAGTGAGTATGAAGTGATAACTATTTAGTTTTGTGAATAAAAAAAAGTTAATTTGATTTAAATATTTTTCTGTCTCCAGATCAAGACCAAAGTACCCTTCTTGCTTCGTGGAACTCTGCGTGAATATCAGTTAATTGGTCTAGACTGGTTGGTAACAATGCATGAGAAACATTTGAATGGTATCCTGGCAGATGAAATGGGTCTGGGCAAAACCATCCAAACAATAGCATTGCTTGCTCACCTGGCTTGTGAGAAATGTGTGTGGGGTCCTCACCTTGTTGTAGTTCCTACATCTGTGATGCTCAATTGGGAGCTGGAGTTCAAGAAATGGTGTCCTGGGTTCAAGATCTTGACTTATTATGGTAGCCAAAAAGAAAGGAAGGCTAAAAGACAGGTATGCACTGAGCAGGATCTTGTTTACACTTCATTTGAGTTTTTGGCAGGTTACACTAGAGCACCAGTGCAAAGTTACGTGCTGGACACATTTGATTAACAAAAGTCAGATCTAGTTCTTAACGCATGGAAGTAGACCGTGAAAAAATATTTGAATTTTGTATTGCTGAAGTTTCATGATTGTTCTCTGGCTGTCACTTTCTTTTTAATTAGAAAACTTACTATCATTTTATTTATAAAAGAGACTATATACCGTATTTACAGGGCTGGACAAAACCGAATGCCTTTCATGTTTGCATCACATCATACAAGCTGGTTATTCAAGATCATCAGGCTTTCAGAAGAAAGAAGTGGAAGTACTTCATTCTCGATGAGGTAAGAGTATAGTAGGCGAAATCAGTTTCAGAATCGCAGCCACATTGTTAAGCAATCTTTCCGTGAGTTTTGATCATGTTTTAGATGAGGTTAAGAGTAAATGAATGAAAACAGTAAGATAGTCCTATCATTTGCCTCCAAACAGCAGAACGTAAATGTAGCACAGAAGCAAGTCAACCAACTCTCATTAATTTCTTTACCAACTCTCAACATCTTGTCAACAAACTTTCTGGCCCTCAAAAGCAAAATGATCTTCCAGATGAAATTCAAAAGTTTGCTGATGATTCATCGATCATTTGCTATTAGGGAGTTTAAGAAGCTACGACGACGACGCCAAGGACAGTGTCAAATGAATTTATATTTTACCTACGAATCTCACGATACTCTTAAGTCATTTACTTTGTTTATCACTGTCAGAACTATCACAAAACTGAATCTGGGACACAGTGATAAATTAGAAATAGAAATTTAAAAATGAGCCGTCGTTCATTGTTCATCTTCTTCAGACAATGCAGAATTTGGTCATTTTACCTTGTTGTTTTGCAGAGGACGGCAAAGAAATGTACCAAGAATTATAATGCACGTGCACAGCCATTGTTCTGCTTATTAAAACTTCTGTTTAGTGACGTTCCTGTTGCCGTTGCCATCATGGTTTCTTAAACTCCCTAATGTCACATGACGAATGGCACATTTCTTTTTTTCACCAACTTGCTTTATAAAAAGTAAACAAATATTGCTGTTTGCTATTTTCTTTCTTTTATTTGCTTGCATTCTAAGAATGAGTGTCTATCCTGTTGTAGGCCCAAAACATCAAGAACTTTAAGTCTCAAAGATGGCAGTATCTACTAAACTTCAACAGCCACTGCAGACTGCTTCTGACTGGAACTCCCTTACAGAACAGCTTAATGGAACTTTGGTCGTTGATGCACTTCTTAATGCCACATGTTTTCCAGTCACACAAAGACTTCAAGGAATGGTTTTCTAACCCTTTGTCAGGCATGATTGAAGGGAGCAGAGAGTACAATGAAGGACTCATCAAAAGACTTCATAAAGTGAGTGTCAACAATTGTTTAAGCTGAGTTAAGAGATGTTTTAGCAGGCTAATAGTTGCATTTGGGTGATCAAATTTTGCTTGAATATGAAGGCCACTCAATCCAATATTGCGTAGCTCTTGTAACTGCGTGGTAATTTCATGTGGCCAACAGTATGAAACTCTTTTAAAACCCACTGTAAGGTGAGATCTCAGCCAATCAGTGGTTCCTGTCGAGAGCGACATTTATCATTGCCAGTTGTCAATTTTGTTACTTTTGAAGTTAGCTGTGTATAATTTTTACATGCACTTCCTCTTTGATTGCAACTATGGAAACATGATTACATTAAAACATCCTCCAATATGAAAGTTATCGCAAGTTTTCCTTAGAATGTGAACTGGTACCACTGTAACAACTTTTGTGATGTTTATTGATTTAGTTTTAATTGTTTATGTCTGTAGGTTCTTCGACCATTTCTGTTGAGAAGATTGAAACTAGAAGTGGAAACCCAGATGCCCAAGAAATATGAACACTTGGTCCGATGCCGCTTATCAAAGAGACAACGTTATCTTTATGATGACTTTATGTCTAAAACCAAGTGAGTGCCTAATATAACATTTGCCATAAAACATAGTTGCCATAATCATTATCACTACTTTTAAATTCCAAATTAGCAATTGAACATTCGATGTGGTAGATGTGTTATCCTGACTCTATTGTGTTATAACTACTCTTTTTCCATTCAGTTTCTGAGTACCTTGCAGCACTGAGCCATTGAAATGCTCTTCAAGAAATCTTTTTTTTATGGGGATTCAATTTGAGGAAGGGAAGGGAGATCAAGGCAAACCCTCTGAGTTATGTCCCCTTGTGTCCCTTCCCCCTATAACATAAACTCAACAAAGCTATCAAGGCAGTATTGAGCACTTTTCCCCTAGGAGGCATAATTCTTGTAATCTTTTTTTATTATTATTTCTGGCCAACTGCTCTTTGACCAAGGTTCATCTCTAATCATTTGGTTTTGCATTGTATGGCCAAGATAATAAGCTGCTATAAAACCCACTGGCATGTGTACTTCAAGTGTCATTGGTTCCTGTCGGTAGCAACATACTATACAAAGGTTCAACCTTTTCTTTAACACTGGGAAAAGTTGAGTAGTGAGTCAATGTAAGATATAACTCAATTTCTTCTTTTTTATTTTAGAACAAAGGAGACATTGGAATCTGGTCACTTCCTCAGTGTTATCAACATTCTCATGCAACTCAGAAAGGTAGGCTTATTTTTGAAATAAATTTTACCTTGTTGTGAAAGAAAGCAAATATGAAATGTTAATCCATTGACTCTTATCGAAGACAGCTATGCAGACCAAATTTGCATGTGCCAGCTTAGAGCTCTCCTAATGTAAAAGTTACTTAGAACTGCAGCGTTTGAACGCATAATTTCTGAGGAATAAAATCAGGGCTGTCATTTAGGGCCCTAACCTGTAGCACCTGTAACTGCTGAGTAAGCTTGATTTTCCCTTGATGCTATGGGTGAGATTGCCTGTTGTCGATAGAATTCACCTATAAAGTAACAAATTTGCTATGGGTGTGGAGAATAAAGTTACATGTGACTAAAAATGTAGTGACAGCCCTGAAAGTGGTTGCATATAATGTACTATCCACGCTTAATAATACATTTTATTTTTACTAAGTGAATATCGTGGACTTATCAACATTGCTCATGCTGCTTAAATTGCTTTTCATTCTTAGGTATGCAATCATCCAGACCTGTTTGAGCCAAGACCAACAGTTTCACCATTCATCACAGAAGGCATTGAGTTTTGTACTGCATCATTAGTGCTCAAAGCTTTGGAATATAACCCTCTTAAACAAATTAACTTTGGTTACTTGAACTTGTGTATTGCGGACATAGAAAGGACAGTAACGAGCTATGCTGCTTATCGTACGCAGTCTCTTCAAACACCAGCACAAATGATCATTGAAGTAGATTCTTACCCTGAACCAACAAGGCGTCTGGTTCCACCAGTAAAACCAAGAAGGATTTCATTGTCTGGTTATCCTGTGGCACCATTAACTGGTGTTAAGACCGACATTTCTAACAGCATTCATCCAAGTGGGCAACACATGCCAGTTATGCCCCCTCCCCCTTACTCTGCACACCCACAACACAGGATGCATGGCACTACTTGCACACCAGGGAATCTTCCCCATGTCACCCCTCCTGGTTGGTCACAAGACTTGCCAGGTTATCCACCACGCCCTGGTTATGTAGGATCATTACCAGGAAGAATGCCACCTGGAACTCCTGATGGACAACAGGTACATGGTTATTCAACACGTCACAGTACTGGAACTGGTGGCAGCTATCCACCATCTAGATTACTTGTGGCTGGTTATGGAAGGGAAATGCCACCACCTCCACCCTATCCAGGGCATGGTGCAGGATATGACTCTCAGCGTCAGCATATGGCAGTGACGCATCCACCATGGTCAGCATCAGTTCCTGTGACAGCTGGTGCCACTTCTGAATCACGGCAGCTTGTATCTGGTAGTACAAGCCTACCAGCAGTGCAGGGTCGAGCACCAGTGGCACCAACTGTCCAAGATGGTGTAGCAAATAGACTGTCTCATCCAGAACCAAAACCTTTGTCTGTGTCTCCAACCAAGAGGATCGCTCTTGATGCAAGCAAACCAACAATTCCAGTTCCTGCAGTCCAGCCCAACAAAGATTCCCCATTCTACATGGTATGTGTTAGCATTCAAACACCCTGGGAGAGCACAATCCTTGCAGCTGTTGTGCAAACCATCAGTGCAAAAGCTGTTATGTCTCTCATATTTTGGTGGTGATAGAAATATAATGACCTTTGTGATGGCAAGGAAAGCAGCAGTGTTAGCATAAGAATAATGAACTTGCTGGTTTTATGTAAAAATTGCTGTAAGAAGTGAAATCATAACAAAATAAAATTGTGGCGACAGCCCATTTCCAAATTACCTTAATTAAGCCCTTTTCTCAAAGTGAGTCTTGATGCCCGTCCTGTCATATGAATAATGAAATTTCGTCACATGCAAATTATACTCATTTTCATTTGAATGGTTGTGCACCAGGTCTTGCTTTTGGTAAAGAGGCTTAGGGCAATTTTTATATGCTTCTGGCAAAACACTGGCAAAAAGGGGCCTTTAGATTAATTGTCCTCCCTGCCAGGGCTGCATGTGTGTCAGCACATGATGAGTGAAACTTCAGGTCCGTGTTTTTGAGCAAAACTGTGATAGTTCTTGAAGTTCTGAGCTGACAAATTAAATGATGGTCAGAATTGTTTTGTAATTATCATGACAAAAAAGGTGATAAGTGCATGTAATTTTATAGGAGAGCCTTGCAGACAAAAGAGCTAAAGAAAGAAAACAGAAGCTTGTACGCATCGCACAAGTGAACAGTCGCCATTGTCATGCTCAACCAGTTTATGGACTGGACTTGGTCCAGGCTGTATCTGTAGTTAATGATGTGTGGCATACAGTCAGTTGTTGTGAATACTTGACAAGTGTGTTGAAGACTCCAGAGGACAGAGTGAGTGAAATGAAGGAAGCCATTAACAGGTATAATGAAGGTTTTTGATGTTTTGGTTGTGTTGAGGGAGGATGGGTAAAAGCAGGATTTTAGAGGTCAATGAATTTAGAGTCGTTAGAAAAATCCATAGTTTGTACTCAAACTCAGTATTGTACACTGTAATTACCCTAGCCATTGAAAGGGAAGCAGGTTTTGGGAGAGATGGTAATTAGGGGTGAAGGAGGTAAACTTAGCATAGGGCTCCAAAATATCTTAGGAGTGCATTATTCAACTGTGGTCTCTGTGAAGGGTACCATGCGTGTTTTGTGGGAAAAAGTTATTGGTACTAACAGCACATGATGAGTTTCAAACTTCAAAGGTCCGTGTTTCTGAATGACCTTGATAATGCAGAAGTTCTGAGCTGTTAACCTTAGTATAAGTTTCTTAAGAAGCAGAAAAAGCACTACAGGAAATCTCTTGCAACATTGGAGAGACTGGTCAACTACTGTGTTATTTTGATATTAGCCATTTAAACATCAACTCAAAGGTTTAATGGGATGAGGCTGGAAAACAACGTAGAGAATATTAAGGTTGATTTTGGTTTAAACAAGTTAAATATTGAAGACTATGTTTTCTTTTTACAAGGTTTGTGTTTGTAATCCCTGCTGCGGAGGCCCCTCCCATCAAACTGCATGCATCCCATGTTCCGCCTTCTCACTTGGCAAATATGCAACACCTTGAAGAGAAGCTTCACAAGGAGCTGATGCCAAGGACAACTTTCATGCATCCTATCACCAGGGGCATGAAAATGCAGTTCCCTGAAGTACGGCTTATTCAGTATGATTGTGGTAAGGATAAGGCAATATTTTTAGTCTTACCTAAAGTACTTGAGAGGCAACAAGAAATTAAAAAAAAATCTGAGAAGAACAGGAGAACTCTGTTGCTCAAACAGAGGATCGAAGAGGTTAGGGTTTAGCACAGCTGGCTGTGGAATGTTGCTGCATGTAGTAAAACAGTCTAAATTGACTAGGGTAGGAAACATTGACAAGGATGCTTTTTTCGATGCAGGTAAGCTGCAAACTCTTGATCATCTTCTGAGGAGACTGAAAGCAGAAAAACACAGGTGAGAGAAACTCAGGTGCCCAAAGCAACAAACAGCACAGTCCTATCAACATCTCAGCTGTGTAAAATAACAAAATGTGAAGTGGACACTCCCTGTTATGTTTTTTGAGGGAGAGGAAGAATTTATAACAAGCATGAGGACTGCGCAAAAGGCTCATCTGTTAATTAATGTTGGCATTTTGTTTAATTAATTTCTGAACAGCATCAAAGGCTGTTAGAAGGTTTAACTGGTTAGATTTTGCATTAAAGATAAAATAAAAATTCCCATGCTCACCTCTTCCTCTCTTTTCTCTTTTTCAAGGGCACTGATCTTCACTCAAATGACCAAGATGCTTGATGTGTTAGAAAGCTTTCTAAATTACCATGGGTACATCTACCTGAGGTTGGATGGAACAACAAGAGTAGAGCAAAGACAGGTGAATCTTGTTTTCACTGACAAATACTCCATTCCCAACCCTGTCACCGTAATTGCAGGCAGGCAAGTACACCTTGAGACTTAAAACTCAATCTGTATTTGATTTTGTGTATTTATCCTTCATGTCAGGTCTTGATGGAGCGCTTCAATGCAGATTCACGCATCTTCTGCTTCATCCTGTCCACACGCAGTGGTGGCCTTGGAGTAAATCTCACTGGTGCTGATACAGTCATATTTTACGACAGTGACTGGAATCCAACAATGGATGCTCAGGCACAGGACAGGTGTCACCGTATTGGCCAGACAAGAGATGTCCACATCTACAGACTGATCAGTGAGCGTACAGTTGAGGAGAATATCCTGAAGAAAGCCAATCAGAAAAGAATGTTGGGTAACATTGCTATTGAAGGAGGCAACTTCACCACAGCATATTTTAAAGAAGTAAGATGAAACACATTTGGACAAAATTTGTTGACGACAAATTCACAACAAACTTTGTCTATTCATTGCCACTTGCTTGGATAGATGTGCATAAGTGTTTTGTACGAAAGATTGAGCTCATAATTGCCAAGAGTAATGNGGACCCCTCATTTTTATTTCAAAATGTAAGTTCCTATAATATAAACAATCAATAGGCAAAGTTTCACAAAAATCTCAGTGCAGGTTCTATTTCAGGGGAATGACCTTAAAAGGGGCTTGGAATGAAGTGTTTGCTAGTGGCCTGTTGGCCAAGTGTCTTTGTGAGATTCTGTTTATGTGAGGCTGCAGTCTATGACTATACAATGTATGCTGTGAAGGAGACAGGGACGTTGTCTTGACATACCCCAAGTTCTCTCAACTAAAATAATTAAACCAGATATAATATGATAATCAGTCAGGATAACTGATCTTTCCTAAATTTTCTTTACTCCACAGAGTACTTTGAAAGATCTCTTCACTATTGAACCATCAGAACCTACAAACACCCAGTCAAGTGTTCCTAAGGCACCTCCCAGTGTTGACGTGGAGACAGGAGAAGAGTCTCAAGAAGAGCCAGAGGCATCTTCAGAGAATGCAGAAGTCAGTGGTGCGAAGGCTGGTGGTGGAAAGATGTCGCAGACCCAACTGGAGCAGGTGAAATACATTCTCCTTTTCAATAGATTATTTTTGGTGGTCTCCATGAATAAATTTGTTTTGGGGTTGTCAGTTTAATTGTGATTTTACTTGTCATGACGGTGTATTAGGGGAGGGGATGTTGAAGGTGATAGTAAAGAGGGCAAAACCTTTCACTTAAGACCATTGCAATTTCTGACAAGTGCCAACAATTTCCAAGTTTATGTTTTTAAATTATATGACACAAGCTGTGATAATTATTCATTTCTGGCTGGTTTAAATTGCATTAAATGGATTTGTTTTGGTGGCAGCAAGTAATGTATTGTCAACCTTACTGGTCTGTGTTTTCGTATGACTGTTACATTACAAAACATTCTCACCAGTGTAAAAACATTAAAATCACTCTAAAAAAATTATGGAAACTAGCATTGATAGAGAAGAGTTTGAATCATTCTTTTGGTACATTTCAACTTGTTCAAGTGCTTTCTGATTCCTTTTTTTTTCTCTGTGTTTCAGGCATTGTTCAAGGCTGAAGATGAACAGGATGCTTGTGCTGCTACTAGAGCTAAGGCTGAACAGGCTGCTGAGTTGGCAGAATTTGATGAGGGAATCCCTTTGAGTGAAGATGGCAAAGTAAGTCTGAACGTATCCAGATGCTCTAGTTACCAGAGTTTCGGTCATGGGGGATAGTTCATGCACCAAAACTGCAAACAAAGTCGAGGAAGGGACCATTGAAAGTTTTGTGAAATACAGTGTGTGTTTTTCTCTCTGACGAGGGTTGGAATTCGCCGCTTTACCTTACAAACCCACTTCTCTTGGAGCAAAGGTTGAGAGTTGCTCTTCAGCTTATTAAATTAAGAGTTAACAGTGTCTTACAAACATTTATCCATTTGGCTTAAACCTTGTATGTTTACAGTTAAATGTTAACAGTAGATATTCCACAGTCAATCTAAAATTTTGCCTCCAACTGCATTTTTCTTACAACTGTAGGGTTTACGAAAGGAAGAGGAACAATCAAAAGTGGAGGAAGAGCTGTCTGCACTGGAGAGCCAGGTGACAAGACCTGCCATCTCTGTTTATAATGAGAAAAATAGAATTCAGGGCAGTGAATACTGTGGATGGTAGACAGTATCTCAGTGCTCATTAAATGTGACTCTGATTACTGAATCAGCTTAAGGGATCCTTTCTTGTTGAAATCAAAAGAGAATCAAATATGTTGACACCAAAAGTGTTATAGGAAAGACAATTTATGAGTTTATTGGAGTTTGTTCAACGTTGAATTTATACTTTCCCATTTCTCTTTAAGATGTCTGCTGTGGAACGATATGCAATTCGTTTCCTTGAGTCATCTGGTAATTACATCACACTGGAACAAATAAAAGCAGCCAAGGTAAATAAAATAACTTTGCTGCAACTCTTCTTCTCTTCTAAAGTCAGAGGAGAGCCCAAGAATTTTGTTTTAAGGTTGGATTATTGGAGCATGGTATGTTTTGGTGAGGTTTTACGTTGCAAATTGTTTCTGCAATAGAAATATGTCAGAGTGATTTGGCTACTGTACATCTTATTTGATCAGCCCAGTCATATTATGCTCAGGGAAAAGTCAGGAAGCTTAAGTTGCAGTCATGCATGGCAAGCATGCTATTGCAATGTTCAATAGCAGGAAACCAGCACTCGTGGTGTCTTCAATTGTAACAATGCTAAATTAGGTTGTACTTAAATAAACACCACAGTGTCCAAACTGTAGTTTATTTTTTTTATAGGATGAGGTTGAGATGGCTAAGAAAGACTGGGAACTTGGTCACCTACAAGCTCTGAAGAAGGAAGAAGAGAAAAGAGCTGCTGAAGAAGAGGACGAGATCTTGTACACGTACACACGGGAGGAAGCTTTGCAGGTTAAAAAGAATAAATCAAAGTCACGTAGATCTAGACCCAACAGCAGATGCTCTAGTAAGGGTTCCTCAGCTTCACAACAAACAAAAAAGAAAATTGATTCAGAAATACCAAGTAAGGAGGCTCAAGTGACTGTCAGGAACAGTTGCAGCAACAGTCGCACTTCATCTAGAGCTAGCAGCAGAAGTAGCAGCTGTAGTAGTTCTAGAAGAAATACGAGGAGAACTAAGTTTCCTGATGACATTTAGCTTTTGTCTTTGAAATTGCAAGATTATTCCCTGGGAAATTATGGTAATCTCCTGTATTTCAGGAAGCTAAACAAGTAAATTTATTTCAGTACAAGTTACTTACTATTTGCTGCCCAAATTGATACAAGTAGCCTTAACTTACAAAGTTTAAAAGAAATCACTTGTCAGTTTTTTGAAGGAGAAAAATTGTTGGGTGGTTACAAAATGTTCTTTGTTTCAGCGAAGATTGCACAATGAAAAGAGATGTTTATAAAAAAAATATGACAGAATTCAGTTTAGACAGTTATTTATGGAAAACATTCAATGAAATTAATTTTGCTTCAATTTTATGTATAAAGGAAACAGGCTGGAAAATGTAATAATGGGTGCTTTTGTTAAAAAAAAGTGCTGCAAAAACTTTCAAATAAACAGATGTTTGAAAACTAAATATTGCTGTGTTTGTCATTCTTGTATCTTCTCTTGATTGCAAACTGGCTTCTAAATTGTCTTTTGAAACTGTTAAACTAACAAGCAGCAGTCTGCATGTTAGTTTGACATTTGCCAGTAGTTTTGGATGGCTGTACAGCGTTAGCATTGCCGACAAGATCATTGGTGTCCAAAGTTGTCTTGAAGTTGCCAAGATGTAACCTTGTGCTGGTCTATTTTTGCAGCAAATCCCTTAATTCACTATGTTGATGGTGCTTTGGCTTGCATTTTTGCTAGTGTCTTGTTCATTGCCATGGCAGTGTTGCTTCCTCACTCCCATAATGCATGATTTTCGCACCATAGCTTACCATCCATCTCATCATTTTAACTCAGACTTTCATTTAAGTCATTTTTTTGTGTCTGTTGAGGATGTGATTTGGTGATAATGTGAGCAGATAAACTGCACATAAATCAGTTACCTTATCACTCGCTATGTTGTTATTTTGTGTAGCTTTAGTCATTTCTTCCTTTACTGTATTGGAAAAGGTGCTGTATTCACACCTTAATAGCAGAGGCTAGAATTGTTTCTGAAACATGCAGTAATTTTCATTAAATATGTCATATCGTTGACAACTTTAAATTGTTGCTGCTGCTCTTGACACCATCCCCAAGCTTGAAAAGGGGGGGGGGGGGTTGTCTATTTCCCATTTCCGCATGCTAGCCTATGCCATCCAACCAATCAAGAGAAGGTTTAAAAATGACAGGCATTTCAAGGCACTTTGGAACCACTCTTGCTGAACAGCCATTCAGAGCCCTTTTCACCTCAAAAATTTCTATTAGACACCCATTTAGATTTTCCCATAAATTGCGGTTGTTGTTTTTTGCTGTAAACTGACTCTTTGATCTGTCACAGATAACACATGACATGTATGTGCACAAAACAAAACAAAATAAATAAATGCTAAACAAATTATGTAAATTTGGGTATTGAGGCTAGGAAAGTAAGAATCTGGTGACCAAGGGGATGTAGATATATGGGGGATGTATAAGTAAACTACAGATTCATCAAACTAGTAAGTACACTGTAAGATGTTTAGAGGCTTGTGCAGATAATTTGGAGACTGCATTCAGGCTAGCACATGAAAACAGATAGGCAAACATGAAAAGCAATCATGCAATCATGCCATCCAATGTGAGAGGTGCATCAGATGTAAGCAAAGAATTCTACACTGATGATTAAGTTCTAAACAAACATAGCAACCAGAATTCAGTCATTTCTTTCATGGGACATTGATGGTATTAAACCTCTCGGCAGATTAGCATGAAAACAAGACAACAGGGTCATCCTGCACTGTGTCGAATGATGTGTTGACCTTATTGGTGTGCTTTGTTTACCAAAGTAATTATGTTATCAAATGTTCAACTTTAGTAACAGCTGTTGAATGAGTGTGTAGCAAGAGTAATGCATATTCAACAAACAGGGGTTGAAGGGTTTGTGATGTGAACTGGTCACTGGTTGCTGCATTTTGCCTAATCTCAATTTGCCACTGGCTTCAGAAAATGTGTCAAAAAGTTATTGTTCTCTCCATTAGGTGTATGTAAATGATGCTACTGGTGAGGAAATGCCGGTTAGTGCTTTATTGTTACTTACACAGGTTTAGGGCAGATGTGGTGTCAAATTTGGACATCTTTATTTTACAGTTGAACAAAAACCTGATCTGCAAACCTTCCTTGAAATTCTGGGTGTTGTATGGGAGTTGGGGGAAGGGGATGTTCCCAGACTCTCCCCCCCCCNAAATTGTCTTCTAGACTCAGAAGCTACACCGGTAAAAGAACTCAAAAGGTTTTTTTTTACGGCAGAAAAGAGAGCCAATTTTAACGTAAATTATTTTAGGTTTTCCCTTCCCTTCCCACTCCCCCACCCCCCCCCCCCCCCCCCCCCCCAATCCAATAATGGTCATGCCTTAAGTCCCATACAATATGTTGGGTGTACACTTTTCAAAATCTGTCTATCAGTCTACGTGCACAGTACATGGCATGAACCCTAGCAATACCAGGCAAATGGATTTTCAAAAGGATCATTTTACTGATCTAGGACAAATCAAGCACGACTGTTCTTGGATAAGTATAGTGTTAAGAATCAAAATTTTGAAGAAAACTTAACAGCAGTTTCCTGCAAAATGTGGGGACCAAAACCAAGAAACCTTCCGTGGAAAGGAAAGGGTAAAGGGTATGGCACATTTGGTTTTGCTGTAAGGAACAAAATAAAATTTGCATTTACAAAATAATCTGTGCACTAAAGCTGTTTACTTGGTTGGACTGGAAACCAATCTCACCTAATTTTGATAATAAATTACTAAAAACATTATTGAAAGTAAAGAAAATTGTCCTTTCCTAATTGTCGTAGATCTGGACCCCACCGACCCCTCCCCGAGATGGACAAGATGAGGTGTATGTTGATCCATGTCAAAATTACTTATATGACTCCACACCTATGGCAGCCAGTCGTCTGCCACCTCTGTATTTAACCAGGTAAGTAGCACTGATATCAGATACTCGTACTTGGACAAAAACACATCAAGCAAACAAGATACTTTGAAGGATCAGGGAAGTTTACTAAGTGAATGATTTCAGTCAATTTTGTCTAAATTATTGTCAACAATATGCCAATAGGAAAAGGTTTTCGAAGGTTTTTAGATTTTGAATGCAATTTACATATTTTAGATCATTTTGAAAGATGCTGTCAGGAAGCGTTGAGGAAGACTCTAGAAGTTGAGGGTTTAAAAATTTTTTCAGTTTGGTTTATTTGATTCAGCTTGAAATAAAATTGCTTTACATACAGGCCACATCAAACTGGAAAGAGGACTGTGTACAAATCTATTGTTTACTTCAGAGACCAACTTCAGGGAGCTGCTAAGTGAGTTTCTATTAGCTGTGTACCTAAAATAAACTTTAACTTTTCTACATCAGTTAGATTTTAAGTCAGTCAAATTTATTTTAAATGCTGGTTTTTTGCTATGTTTTGATTCAAATGAACATTTTCTGGCATGACTCTCACATTCATAAAAAGGGTCAGTTGAAAAGTGAAAAATAAAACATAATTTTGTCTTCTAGCATGGTTTTTGAAGGTGTCCACAACTTGAAATATTGTACAACAGCTTTAATTTTTAACTTTACACACTTAAAAGTAAAATTAAACACTTAAAATTGGCTGTTGTTTTGACAGTGGGAGTTAATCCTTAACATGAATTTCATTTACTTTTTCAATCTCTTTCTTGAAAAATTAATTATTGATGACTCCCTTGAATTTTTAATGTAGGTTGTAAAATTTTGTCACCCTCAAGCAACCACAGCACAACAGACAAGAAAAATTCAAATAGCATCTGTGACACTTAATTTTTTTTATCATAGTACACTTTTAAACTCGTATTGTTGTTTGTTTATGACACAGAGATCGCGTCAGCCGACCCACATCAGTGTTTGACAGAAATGGATTTGATCCGTTTGCTAGGAACCGTCGGAATTCCTTGAGTAAGAAGTCCAAGATGAAGCAGATGAAACAGCAAGTTGCTCCCAGTATCCCCAAACAAACAGATTTCTCCCAGGTATGTGATGCTGTTGGGAAAACAGTTGAACACAGTGGTTTTTTTATCCATGATAGAAAATTAGAGGTGAAATTAGACCAAATTGTGAAAGATTAATTTTGTGAGTGTTCTGGTAAAGTTTTGTTAGCTCCAAGGCAAGGGAAAACCCTGTTCTTATACTCTGCAAGATATCTGCAAACCCTCTTTCAAAAAGCTCTGTTTTCTATAATTGATGTTATGGTGTTGGTTTTACATAAGTGGAGTAATCCGTTTCAGGGTGCAAGTGTTCCAGATTGGTTGATACACGAAGATTGGGCATTACTTCAGGTATTTATGACTTCAATTTTGTAGCCTTTGTTGTTAAAGGGCCCCGGGAAACCAAGTCTTCATTTTTGTTTACATGCAAGAGTTTGGCTATTATATTTTATTTGTAACATGTGGAAACGAAGGAAATAACTCTGAAACTACTTAAGATAATCGAGAGGTTAAGCATGACGTTGACGGCAGACGGCAAACGGCAAAGACAACTTCTGATTTTGAGTTCTTTTCTTCTAATCCGTAAATAAAGCACACAAAAATGGAAAAACGTCTCTTACTATTCATTGCAAATACAAATAATTTCACTCTACTTTACACACAGCTGAAGAGAGACGGCAAAAGTTTCATTTTTGCCGTTTGCAGTTTGCCGTAAACGTCATGCTTAACCTCTTTAATAATGTTATTAAACATACTCTCTAGAACACAACTTGCAGTAAAGCAATAAGATTTCGCTTCACCATGCAATGTCAATAATAATATTTCGATGGCATCAAAAATGACGGAGGCCGACTAGGGTCCTTTAATGTTTCCATGCATCATGTTTAGCTCCTAAACAATACAAAAATTATCCTTAGCAGCTACACCGCAGTGCAGTACAAGACTATCTTTGTTTTTGTTATTAGTGATTGCACAAGAGTTAATGATTTTGATATCACAAATATCAGCTGAATTTGATTTATTGTTGGGGCTCTAGAAGAACACAAAATGTATGTAGGCCAATGTCGGCACTACTTCTTTTTGTACTGTTTTCAGTGCAACCACATCTCCATAATATCAGCATGCACATATCAAACGAAAAGCTTGTCTAGTATGTGTTGTTCACTTTGTTGAAAATATGTTGATTTGAAGGCTGTTAACTCACTACAAGAGTTGCCAGTGGATCTTGCTGTGAATGTTCCAAGCCAAACACCGAACTGGGACATTGTCTGTGACATTGTCAATCTCACAAGCAAGACATTCCGTTCAGCTCGCCAGGTAAATAGTTGTGCAACAAAATCTAGAACAAGCAGTACTGTGCATGGCAGTCTCACAATCCAACCTCAAAGAAACACTTGGCATTTTTTTGCACAAATAACATGCACTCAGTTATCAATTATCAAAAGGATATTGCATGGCCGCTTGGAGGTACGAAATTTTTCTTCTCATGTTGAAAACTATTTTACTCATTCGTTGCACTCAGTCGTGAAATATTTCTTAATACTCATGTAATATCCTCTATGTGATATCCTCTATGTAATAATGCCATGTAATATCCTCTATGTATAAAACTTGATAGATGGCTAGATATCAGATTTTACCATATGCCTCTTATGTAGAGAGATTACTTGAATAATTTTTTTCGTTGTTTCAGTGCCGTGATCGCTACTTGAACATGATCATTCCAAGGGAGGAGGGCAAAGTTCCTTTGGTAAGGATCATTGTGATTTCATTTACTGAGTTCTGCTAGCAGATCTCTGAGAAAAAAAAACCCTTTGTCAGCTATACTTTATAAAGTGGTAATTGAAGCAAGTGCTATCCAGTAAACTACTGTACTTCAGAGACCATTGCATTCTTTAACTCTGGCTCTCTGTTAGCATCTTAGTGTAAAAGTGTTCCTTCTGGATTTAAGCAGCTGCTCGTTACCTTGTAAGGAAACATCTGCATAATTTGATGAATTAATGGAGAACATTTTCAAAAACTGTATTTTTATTTTTGTTATTAGCCTGCAGCAGAGGAGACCTTGAAGAAATTAAAGACAAGATATAAGTCATTCACTCAGCCATACCTTACACAGTCGCACAATTTACCAGTCAAGGTAGGTAGACTCCTAGCTAGTTTGGCTGAAACAGTTTTGCAAATCTCTTAATTCCAGAAAGAAGAAGAAAGATATTTAATACATTTGATGTATCTTTAAGTTTTTTGTCATGGTGAATTTTATAATAGTGTGTTAAAAGTGTTTTGTTTCCTACAGATCAAAGGCACTAGTGGCAGACCTTTTAAGACACATCATTTGTTAGCTCAAGATGCTGGTCGTTCACCTACTATTGTACGTTCATCCGTGTTTGAACTTGTCAAAAGGACATCTCAGAAGAGGAAACCAACCCTCAAGCAACTGTGAGTACTCACGATCACTCACGATCACTCAGCTATCTCATGGACAACTTTTGTCATTGTCACAAGTTCTCCACCTTGAACAATGAGCTTTATTCTTTGTTGCATCTTTTTGCACCAGTGTATGATTTGATAATTTTACCAAAACGGATGTAAATTAAATATATACATTTCTCCAGTGTCTTTGAGTAATTCCTGTTTTAAATTGCCATGGTCTACTTGTTTTTCAAGGTTGGTGGATCCACAGTTAAAGAATTTCAAGCACTCTGCTGTCTTGAGTGCAAGGTAAAGATGTATCTCAGCAGCTATTTTTTTTTTTTTTGTAATCAGCTTCCAATGTTTTTGTCTCAAGCCTTGCTACTTAGGCGAGTTGTTACTCTCAGGGTATCTCTCCCCTCCCAGAAGTTTAAATTGAAGTTTTTTACGCAGAGTAACCTGACAATGTGACAAGGGTGGTTAAGTTGCAATGAACTAGCGTCTCGTCTAGGGAGTGTATCAATAGTACTATGCTCAGTTGCTTTATGCCACAAGAACAGGACCTCAATACCATCTGTTATGAACAATAAGCTGGGTATTTCCAGGGGTGGGGGGGAGGGGGGGAAACAACACATTCATTTGTTAATTTTTCCAGCATGATGAAAGTGTTGTTCGATATCCTACTTTGGTCAGCCATTAGGTTTTTCTGTGTTAGTGTTGAAAATCCTTGTGTAGTTGCGTTCGAAGAACGCAAACCTGATTTTGGCCTGTGGCTTTCCAGAGTTGGTTGCCCTGTGCACGGTTATATGCAGATAAAACCCAACATTCCTGTAAGGACACCAAAATGGCCACCCCGCTTGATTTTTTCACGGGCATGTCACGGCCAGTAAACTGGTACTGTTTAATACTGAGACATGAGATTACATGTGATAAGACATGTGGCAAACATGTGAGCATGTAAGCAGGCCATGCGAGCTCGACTTTGCGCTGCTTTCTTTGACTTCTTTCCATTCAGGCGCCGTGGGCTTCGCTATTTTGTGCTCTCAGCGTTGGATATTAGTGAATATAAACGCTTCGATGGTAGCATTTATCGAAATCTGAGGGTATTGTCCTTGTTTATTTTGTATGTTTGGAATGNAAGTTAGTTAGTGAAACCATTTATTTAAGGTATATATATTAAAGTCAAGGCGTCCGAGTCGAACGCACTCTCATAATCTTTGATTACTACTAGTTGTTAACAATATACTCTGCTCTTGAAGTGGGATTTCAGAGGAAAAGACTTTGAATCCAGTACAACTGGCTACTATGAAAACAGAAAGAATCGCTCGAGAGAAGGCTGCTGCTGCACAGAATGCTGCGGTGAGGAAAGAACTGTTTTAACTAGGAGTTAAAAACAGCTGTAATGAAATTAGCTTTTCATAAACAAGGGGGTTTCAGCAATAAAGTGTAAATAGTATTTGAAAGTACTTGTAATATTGATCATTTGAACTTTCAGTGAAGTTTGTGAAACAGTTTTTAAACATTTTTGATCAAAAGTTTTTGTAGACGCAAAGTAAAATATTGAAGATAGGATAAATTTTCTAGGGTTACTTGCGTATGTATCCAGTCTTCTTGGATGGGGTAAGGTTACAGGACGCAATGGTTAGCACAGACAGCAATGACAATGACTTGCAGTGAATATTACACGTTTTATTCGTCTGTATTTTCAACAGTTACAGCAGCAGCAACAACAGCAACAGCAGCAGCAACAGCAACAAAATCAACCTGTGGCAGCACCTTCACAGCTGCCGCAACCACAGGCAGCCCAGCTTACCCAACAGACTGTGACAAAACAGCTGCCAAGTACAACACCACAGCTTCCTGCTCAAAAACTAACCACTACCACACAGCTTAACTCTTCACCTACTGCTGTAAGTTATATCATACAATTTATGTTGTGTCTCCTTCTGATACTTCAATTCTTGGTTTGGAGAAATATGAATGACCTGTATACATGTAAATTTAAGATTGTTTGGTAAATGCATGCCATCTGGTAACAATACCTAGTATTTATCAACTATAAAATATGTTTATGATGGTGACTAACCTGTAATTTCTTCTTACATGATCAGTACATTTTCAATCAGAATAGATCAGTGTCAGGACTGATACAATAAAGCTAGCGGATATATATTGTCTTGATATGTCACCAAATTCTCAGAACTAAAGCTCAAAGAAAGCAAACTGAATAGGTATTTTGATCACAGACACACATGAACTAATGCTGCTCATGGTATGAATATTTCAGGCCGCTGCAGCACTTCAGAAAAATGCAGCTCTTCAGGGAGCTACAGGAACCACGCCTGCATCCACTTTGCTGAAGACTACAGGTTAATGTTTTCATCTTTTATGTGTATTTGACATAAAATATATATCTCTGAGGTGCATTAAACTAAGAGATGGGTGCGTTCACTGAAGTGTTACGCCAAAAATGAAAATTATTCTGATGCAGGTTTGCTTCAGGTTTAGGGAAAAGCCGGGAAAAGATTTGAAGGTCCAAAAGTCTGGGAATTCATTTTTGCATCTGGTCATGAAATTTCTAGATGTCCTGTCAAAGTAGAGTTATTTGTTAAAGTTCCTGTAGCTTTGGATAATAAATTAGACGTTTTAACTGGCTTCATTTTGTTTGATCAGATTTCATACTACAGAAACTCATTTGCCATGCATCTTTGATCCCTGGCTGGGCAACAGAATTCACTTTTTCTTTTCACTTTTACTCAACACAATGAAATTTGTTAGTGTGGAAGGTTGCACTTACTAAGAGAACAGGTTTTCAGGATGTGTAGTTAAGAGTTGCGATAGAGTGGTTTTCAATTGAGTGTCGTAAAACCAAAACCAAAGCAATCACTCTGGCCAATCACAAGGGACAAAGGCAATACAGCAAACCAATCAAAACTCGAATTAACTGCGTGTAGCCGACGTAAAGCACGGGAAAACTTATGCGAATGAGTCACGATTGGTTTTGGTTTTACTTCTGATCGGATGAAAAAGTGGCGCGAAATTTTTAAACCAATCGTGTAGCGTAGTGATGCAAAACCAATTACTATTCTAATGAAAACCGCTCTTACAACAAATCAGAGACCAATAGTAGTTGCTGATTGTTGTTTGATTGACAGCTGCCGGAATTGTGCTCAGTGGTCAAACTGTACCTGCTGCAGGTACCTCGAGTATTGTGGTTAATACTCACAAGGGCAATGCTGCAGGTCTCAGCTCTATGACATCATCATCCTTTGCCACAATCAACAAAAGGATGCAAGGCAAAATACCAACTTCCCTTGTTCAAGTGCCAGCGGTAAGATTAATAAACAGTTAAGTTTAGAATCCTTTCTCCCCCCCTCCCGGGGGGGGGGAATAACTCGTATTGGTACAACTAGCGTTGTCACGGCTTCCTGCTGCACACTATTTCCCTCCTCGTCGGGGATATCGCTTTTATCCGCCATTACTATCGCCACAATATCTATTGACTTTTTAAAATTGCTGCGAGTTGTGCAAACCCTGTGTCGTCATCAAATCAAAATGGCCGCGGAAGCATATGTCTCACACGGTCGCGTTTCTTTGTCAAGGTCATGGAAAAGTATACAGTCAGAACATTATCATCAATACCACAAAGTTATTTTGAGCAACTTTTTCATTTGGTTTCATAGGCACTTTAACAAAGTAAATTTTGATGTTTGATTTCATCAGAATGCATCTTCAGCTGGTGTGGCAACAACAAGAGTTCTGCAGACACAGCCGCGTCAGGTCAGCAGCTCTCTTGCATCAGGCACGGCAACATCAATAACACTGGGTGCTACCACCAGCTTAACACCGGCATCATCAGCAGCTGTGGTCAGTCAGGTAAGGAGATCATGCCAACAGGTGGGTGCCTGAGACATCCAGCTGTTTCCACTGTGGCCAGACAGCCCTTAAAAAGAGTACTGCTAATCTCCAACACCAGAGCCATAAACCCTCATTCCAGGAAGTTGTCACTCTGCTTGACGTGCTATCCGAGCGAGCTACACCCCTTACGGGAAACGGACTGTTAATTTCGTATATAAAATCACTCTATCTCTTTCCATCATCCAAGTTAAATTCTCGGGAGAGGACTCAACAATAGATAGTCATTTTTGCCCCGTTGTCAAACTCCTCAACTAAAGAAAGTAATTTCGTCAGATGGTTGGTCACTGACACGGATGACATGTTGCCGTAGTTCAAGTCTTGCAAACAATTTTATTTAATTCCAGCCTTCATTTGATACCTGAATCAAGTTAAGGAGTTTTATTCTTAGTTGTGTGTTCCTCTGCTTCCACGCTTTTAAAACATTTGTCTTCTATGGTTAATTAAATTGTACCATTTGACTCTAGACCGCCTTCCCTGTTTAGAGATTATTAATTTTACACTGTGATGCCTCACTGCAGCTTGTGAAGGGTTTAAACAAATTTTTCCTTCCGTTCAGCAACCAACTGTTTTGATTTCTTTTCACAGATTGGACTACAAACTTCCTCGTCAGTTGCTACTGCAAGTATGTGTATTGTTATCGCTGCTGGCCAGCATTTCTTATTTCAAAAGTATCTTGCTTCAGTACAAGTGTGTTTTGCTCTTTAAAATAGTTTTCTAGAACTGCTGTAATTTTTTTCTTGTAACTGACGTGTGGTTCGCTTGACTGTTGGTTTACTTCAGGTCATAATCTTCCAGTTGCTACAACGCAGTTTGGTGTTCCGCAAGGAGTGAAACTGACTCCCCAACAGCTTACATTACTGAGGCAACAGCAGCAGCGGCAGGCACAAATGAAAAGGATACATCAAGCAGAACAGATCAAGCAGCAACAACTCAAACGCATCCAGATTCAACAAGTTAATCAAGGGCAAGTCAATCAGGGGGCTGTTGCTTCCAATACAAGCACAATGCCAAAGCCAGGTACAGTGCAGCAGCAGGCCACTGTACAGCAGCAGCAGCAACAACAGAAACAGCAGCAGCAGCAGATTGCAAACCTACAGCAAGCTGCTATACTGAAGAAGGCTCCTCAGACGATCACCCAGCAACAGCTTCAACAGCTCCTGAGTAAGCAGCAACTGGCACAGTTAACACCTTCGCGACAGTTACAGCTGCAGCATCAGCTTCAACAGCGGCAACAACAGCAGATGTTAAAAAATATGGCATTACGTCAACAGCAGCAGGCTGTAGGAGGAGTGACTACCATCCACGGTGCACAGGGAGGCCAGATGGCTACTGCCACTGCTAGTGTGGCAAAACCAATGACGTCGCAGGCTCAACTGCTTGTTGCTCAGCAACAACAGCAGCAGGTGGCGAGCACTGTGCAGGTGAAGAGTCAAGTTACTCAGTCTGTGGTCAAGCTGGGGACAGCACAGGTTCAACATCAACAGCAGCAGCCACAGCAGCCTCAGCAGATGACAACTGTCACCCTTCAGAGGACTGCTGGCCCTACTGTACAGCTACTACAGCAGCAGCAAGTACAACAGCAGCAGCAACAACAACAGCA